CAGTCTCATGCAGCTGACATTCAGGTGGGAGATACAGACCCATAAAATGTGGATCTCAGCTCCCGACCAGGGATCGAACTCATGCCCCCTGTGGTGGAGGTACAGAGTCCTAACCACTGGACCTCCAGGGAAGCCCCAGAGATTGGTATTTTAAAAAGGGAAGCAGGGCTTTCTGAGATGACACTAAAAACTAAAGGAAGTGAGGGAGCAAGCCAGGAACACTCTGGGAGAATAGCATGTGCAAAGGCCCTGAGGTGGGTGCCTGTGTGGTTCACTCCAGAAGCAGTCAGGCAGTGCAGCTCTGGCAACAGGGAGAGACATACAACTGAGGTCAGCGGGATCGCAGGGGCACACTGAGGGTCCTGTGGTCCATAGGGAGGACTTTGGATTTTAACGGGAACAAGTAGAGGGTTTCAAGCCCTGAGAAAAGAGATGAAGCAAATGAGACAGAAAAAGCAAGGAATCAGCTGAGATGGACAGCATCCTGTTCAGCTCTGTGTCCAGGGCTCAACAGAGGGCCTAGTATATACGCCCAGTGACAGTGTCTGCAGGAGTGAATAAGAGGCAGATTGACAGAGAAAAGAGTCAGAATGACATTAGCTGGGTGGACAAACTCCCAGGGAGAAGCCAGGTTAAGGACCCAGGACGCCCAGGGACAGCAGACAGACAGACAGACACAGACAGACAGACGGCAACCCAGCTGAGAAGTCCCATTCCTTCCAGAGGCCTCCCCACCCGGAAACCTTCCCGGGAGCTGGAAAAATCCCCCAGTCCCCCCTGCCCGCCTTGCCCTGTGGCGTGCCCACTCACACCTCAGGCAGAGGAAGCTGGCAGGCCCCACAGGAACCTTTCTGTGCGGGGGGAGTGAGGGCGGGCGGGCGGCAGGGACGAGGAGAGAGGAGTGGCGGGCGGGCGGGCGGCGGGCAGCGGCTACACAAAGGCCCCAGTGTCTGCCCTCCTGCCCCTGTACAGATATAAATAATATGTACATATACCTTTATATATATATATATATATATCTCTACCAGTGGGCTGGGGTGGGAGGCTGGGGCCACACACTCCCCCTCTTAAGGACCCTGGCAGAGCAGAGGTCTGCTCCTGTTGGGGCTGGGGCCTCAGAGACAGTGACCAAGCCTGAGTGGTTCCGGGTGAGAGGGACTTAACAAGGTTCGAGAGAAACTTACAAGGTTCGAGAGAAACAGGAAGAGACTGGCAGATTGTGGCCCCGAGTTAGAAACCAGGTGGCAGAGAGAGTCGGTGGGCTCAAACGGAGACAGATCAGGAACGGAGAGAAATCAGATTTCCCTGAGAAAAGGCAGAAAAAGTCCGAGGCAGATGGGACAGGAATGAAGACAAGAGTCATTCCAGCGAATGAACCTCAGAGAAACACAGGTGAGAGGAAGTAGGGGCAGAAAGAAGCGGAGAGGCCAGCAGATAGCCAGGGAGCAACAAAGAGAAGCAGGCAAGCAGGCAGGGCCAAGGCTGGGGGCTTGGGAAGGCCGGGGGGCCGTGGGTGGGGGAAGGGTCAGGGCACATCTCCAGTTTAGGGGCACCGCCTATGGGGCTCTGGGCCAGCCCAGTCCAGGGCAGGCTAAGGGGCAGGGAGCGGAGGTGAGGGAGGTGGCCCTTGCGTTCCGGATCTTGGTGTTTACCTGGGGCAGGCATTGCAAACAGGCGCCCAGCCTGGCCCACGGCAGGGCGAGGGTGGGATGGGCTGGGCCGCAGCTCTGGGCACCAGTGGGCCCGACACGCCCACCTGTGGCCTGGGTGGTGAGTAAAACACACGGCGACACCTGGGTAGATGGTGACACATAGGGGGACAGACACAGTGACACACACAGACAGATATAGGCAGACCCAGGGTGTCTGAGACATAAACAGACCCAGAGAAGCCAGGACAGAGACACGCTGTGATAGACATGGTGGCAGACACAGTGTTGCGCTCAGAGACACGGCAACAAAACGCAGAGGCTGAGAACAGTCAGACACGCTGCAGGCAACGGCAGCACTGTGACATGCATGCACACACCGTGACACGAACCCCAGCAATGAGACACTGACACGGGGACACACAGGCGCACACACGCACGCTCACACGCTGACCACACAGATCACGCAGGAACACGGAAGCCCGCGGACGCCATGACAACGACACGCTGACGCCAAGGTACACACTGACGTCGACTCCCAGACTGCTGGCTGCTGGGGTGCCCCCTTGGCCCCCGGTTTCGGGGTGTGAGCGGGGCTGACCGCGGGGCAGGGCTTGGGACCCCAGGGCCCCGATGTGCTGCTCTTACCCCTGTAGAACAGTGCCCTGATTAAGGGCCCCAGCTCTGGGCCTGGGTTCAAGTTCTAGCTCCCCACTCACCACCTGTGTGACCTTGGACAAGTCACTTCTTCATGCCTCAGTTTCCCCAGTGATAAAATGGGTGGTGGGAAGGACTGGCTCCATTAATTGTTAGGTGCTTCCACGATGCCAAGACATGTGGCACACCTTAGTAACTGTTGTTATCATTATGTTTCTTTTCTGCTTCGCCATCATCGTCTCATGTCTTCTGAGGCAGGTGGCTCTCTGCTCACAGCAGGGACCCTGCCGTGCCCTCTGTTTCCCCACCCATGGGCTCCTCCCTTGGACCATGTCACCCAAAGCCACAAGCCATGCCCGGGTCCATCTGTCCCAGCTCAGGCTTCTCTGTGTCCTGGTGGCTGTCCCTCCATCCCTGACCCCAGCGTCCTTATGTCTGTCCATGTGTCCCATGTGTGACTGTGGTACTTTTCCATGCTGGCCACCCGCCGGCTGTCCCTGGGGTGGGGGTCACACCTGCCCACGCTGGCCGAGCCAGTGGCCACCAGACACCCTGACGGATGGCCCCACCCTCCCCCCCCAGGACCCTACAACAACACCCGCCCCTCCGGCCACCTGAGGTCCCCACTGGGGCGGCCTGAGGCCTGAGCCTGGGGACAGGAAGCCCCAGGCCTGGCCGCCCTGAAAGCCTCTTTCAGCCTGGGCCTCCTCCGGCCGCCACCGACTCCTCCTGCGGAATAATATTTGGGCTGTTGGCCGGGGGGCGGGGGCCAGATCCGGAGGCCGCCTGGGAGAAGCCAGAAACCGCAGGGCTTCCTGCCTCGGGCCGGCCGACTCCGGGAGAGACCCCCAGGCCCGAGGGAGGGGGGCGGGCACCCGGGGAGACTGAGGGCCTTTCTCTCGGCACCAGTTGTTTTTTCCAGGAACCAGGAGGAATTCCCCAGCCTGCCCAGGACAGCGAGGCTGGTGGGACGGCTGACGGGGAGCCAGCGCGGCAGGGGGCGGGGGGTGACACGCAGCCGGCGGGGCGGGCACGGTGACAGAAATAGAGGGCCTGGCCTGCGAGGTGGCAGGTAGAGGCGGAAACTCAGGGAGCTGGGAGAGGGAGGCCAAAGGAGGAGGAGAGAGGCCAGAGAACCAAGGGAGTGGGGGGAGGCAGACCCCAAGAGAGGAAGACTTAGAGCCCCAAGGGAAGGAGGGAGCATTCAGAGAGAGAGGGAGGGACTCAGAGGAATGGAGAGGATGAGAGAGAGCAAGGCAGAACATTCGAGAGACAGATGCACAGAGGATGTGCGAGCTGCCCACAAACCATAGGACAGAGATTAAGACACAGAGACAAGTAGGGACACAGATGACCCTAGGGGACAGACAGATGGACACACAGGAAGTGGGAGAAACATCGCTCTCCCTTCTGTCCTCCCTGTCTCTCTGTCACTTTCTCATACACACACGCACACACACAAAGAGACAGCTTTTGGTCTTTGAATGGACTGACTAAATGAATGAGTGGCTACAGAGCCAACGGCCATGAAAGGCAAATACAAACTAAGGAAAAGACACCTGCTCCAGCCAGCCTGGTGGCATGACCTTGGCCCCAGCCTTTCCCATTCTGGTCCTCAGTTTCCACCCTGTGAAATGAGGGCCATGAAGAACACACCTGTGTTTCCCAGAGAGCCATGTTCTCGGGAACATCCGAGCCATAGATACCAGACTCAGAGCCTAGGCAGAGACCTGGACAAATAGAAGCCCCTAGACCCCAAACCCAGAGGCCCCCAGAAGCCCCCAGCGCCCAAAGGAAGAGTCAGCTCCTTTTCCCCACACCTGCACGTGAAAGAGACAAAGACCACTAGGGCCAGCCAATACACGCTCACACACAGCCACAACAGTGACAGGGACGTGGCAAAGACAGACATAAGTCATAGAGTCATACTTTTTAGAGGACATACAGGCATGCTGACTCACAGAAATACACATGAAACACACAATGATCCACAACACCGATGTAGGCACTGGTAGACTCTTTGAGGCAGCAGGCAAGTAGACAAAGGAACATACCGGAAGGCATATCCAACAGTGTGAGACCCAGGATCCCAGGGATAGGCGTGTAAGAGCATCACACACAAGAAAAACAAGGCAGACGCACAGAAGTCTGATATCCTGAGACACCTACAGTAAGCACATAGAGGATGGACATAGATTAAGGATGGACACAATTAAGGGATACAAGCCATAGATAACACCCACAGCAGACCATAGGGACCTCAATGGCTTTAGTGATACCCTATGACCCACAGAGGCACAGGCGCGCACACACACACACAATCTCCTTCAGTTAGCACCTCGTTTGTCCCTCCTCCTCTCCAGCTTAACCAAAAATTGAGCTGTCCCAAAGCTCTCTGAACCTCAGTGCTAGAGGCATGTGTCAAGAGAGTGGGGGTGGGGAGATGGCCTTGGTCACTTCAGAGCCACCTCCGCCTGCTGCCCCGGCCCCACGGCTGCGGGGGCTGCTATCTGTGAGCAAACTGTCCTTGGGGTCAGGGACAGCAAAGAGCCAAAGGTCAGGTCGATGCCTCCCCCAGCCCTTCCCCCAGAGAAGCAACTGGCTCTTGGGGGCAGGAAGGAGAGGGGACAGGACACAGCAATTCAGTTGTTTCAGCCTCGAAGGGCCCACTGGCTAAGGAAAAGACACATTCAGTAAGAGGCAGAAATGGTGCCTTTAATGGTCAAACACAGCCAGTATACCCCTTCCCCGGCAAGAACCAGACTTTAGTAGAAATCCCCCACACCCTAACCAGCCCTTTCTGGTTTTTCCTGGACCAGAGGGAGAATGGGCTCCAGAAAAAAAAAAAAAACAAAAAAAACAAGGAGTATCCTCATCTCTACCCTTCATTCAGCTCACACCAGAGACAGGGATGACACGGCCGACACTGGGGCTGTGGTGGCCATCATGTTGCACAGCGGTACACGGGTGATGGCAGACCGTCAATATGGCGGCCATCACAGCACCCAATGGGCCAAAGGAGACGTAACCGAAATGGTGCCACCATCACATCCAGAGGCTCAGCCAAGAGGCTGGGCATCACAGCACCCAAGGGGCCAACCAAGAAGTCATCCCAGAGGGTGGCCATCCGAAGACCCAACAGGTCAACCTCATCACATCGATCAGTATGGCAGTCTTCACAGTACTCAATGGGCCCACCGTGATGTCAGTGGCAGCTATCATAGTACTCAGCAGATCAACACGATGCCCACAGTGATGGCGGTCACCACGGTGAGCAGTAGACCAACCAAGATGTTGACAGACGGGACGCGCAAGGTGTCCCCGGGGAAGGTCAGGCCCCAAGAGCCAGATGGTATGAGCTACCACCCACCACGCTCCCACCCCACCCCTGCTAGGATGCGTTAAGCAGAGAGCGGGAATAGAGGCCCTGGTAGTAGACCCCAGGCTCCCCACCCTCTGCCCCATAACCCCCAAATCCCACGTCCAGCTTGGGGGGTGCTGGCGACTGTTCCGACATCAGATTGTTGATGGAGAAAGGGTGATTGAAGTTGTAGGGCGCATCCAGCTTTAGCTCCCCTGGGAGCTCCAGGCCGGTGAAGTAGGGCGTGGAGGGAGCAGCGGGCGAGCCACAGTCCAGAGCCCCCACTTCGTCCCCACCCTGGGCCTCCGGCTCAGGGGGCGGGGGCTGCGGCTGCGGCTGCGGCTGCGGCGTGGAGGCCACACTGGCGGCAGGGGCGGCGGCCGCAGCGGCCGACCCCGCACTGTTCCTGGAGGCCGAGCTCCCGCCGCCCCCTTTCTTCACCTTCTCCTCCAGCTTGAAGCGCTTCTGGCGACGTAGGTAGCAGCCGTTCTCAAACATGTTACCTGAGCTGGGGTGCAGGGCCCAGTAGGAACCCTTGCCCGGCTTGTCGGGGGAGCGCGCCACCTTGACGAAGCAGTCGTTGAAAGACAGCGAGTGGCGGATGGAGTTCTGCCAGCGCTGCTGGTTCTCACGATAGTAGGGGAAGAGGTCCATGATCCACTGGTAGATCTCGCTCAGGGTCAGCATCTTGCCCGGCGCCTGCTGGATGGCCATGGTGATGAGCGAGATGTAGGAGTAGGGCGGCTTGGCGTGGGCCAGGGGCCGCCGGTACCCTTTCGGCATCTCCTTCCCATGGACCAGCCCCGGGCCTGGGCCCCCATACCCTGAGCTGCTGCCTCCACCAGTGCTGGCACCCAGGCCTGGGAAGGTGGGCCCCAGGGGCGCTGTGGGGGCTGGAGGCGCCAGGGGTCCAGTGGGCAGTGGGGAGGCAGGGAGCCCCCCTGGGGGGTAGGGAGAGCTCAGAGGGTTCAGGGTCATGTAGGAGTTGAGGGGGGCCATAGTGGGTACTGGGGTCACCGGAGAATAGACCTACAGGGAGAGAAGGAGAGATGGTAACTGGTGAGTCTCTACGCTGTTTGTAAGCAAAGGGTCGCTGGACCCATTTTGTGTCCGTTTGTCTGTCCGTCTTGCCCTTCCGTCTTTACCTTTCTCTGTAAATGGCTGTCTCTTCAAGTCTCTCTTTCTGCCCCCCTCTTCACGCACCCTTCTCCCTGACCCCATCTCCGACATCCCATGTACTGGCGTGCACATGCTTTAAGTAGTTATCAAAGTGTGGTCCAGGACACCCTGGGGAGTGTCTGAGACTCTTTTTGGGGATCAGTGAGGTCAAACCATTTTCGTATAATGCTAAGATATGACTAATCTTTTTCACTTGGTTACTCTCACCAGCGTACAGTGGAGTTTTCCAGAGTCCACATGACATGGAATATTGCAACAGACCAAACGTAGAAGTAGCTAGGAAAATCCAGCTGGCTTCTACTGAACCAGACACTAAAGAGATGGGCAAAAATGTCACTGTGCCACCCCTCTCCTTAAATGTTCTGAAACAGTTATTTTAATAAAAATACACTGCTTATACTAACACATTTTTGCTACTTTTAAATGAATGAATGCCTATTTTTAAAATGTCTCAATTTTCACTTTGATTGTGGTAACAGCCAATATAACCCTGATCAATAAAAACTATTTGGGGTCCTCAATAATTTTAAGAGTGTGATGAGGTCCTGAGACCAAAAAGAAAAAAAAAAATTGAGAACTGCTGATTTATCTAATAATGGAATCTATGTGTGTACTTTCTATACATCTTTTAGGCTATAAAATTATAGCTTTTTAAGTCAAAGCACCTGAAAATCAGAAATCACATATTTCCACCTAATATATGTCATCTGTTTATTAAATGTCATCAAATCTAAGCTTCAGTAGTATTTTAAGTGTCAATGAGAATGGAAAAAAAATTGTCAATTATAATCTGCAGACACCACTGACTGTAAAACTCATTCCATTTTCAGAAAGGTTCAAATGGGGGGGAAACGTGCATCTTAGCTCAATGAAATAAGGTAGACATTGCTATGTCTTTGTAAGTAACTATCTTGTCTCTCCAATATTCAACTGACCACCTACTGTGTGCCAGGCACTTCCCAGGAAAGTTCTGCTCTGATCCTTGTGACCACACTATGGGGGAGGCGCTATCATGACACCCATTTTTCAGCTGAGCAACCTGAGGCCCCAGAGAGGTTGTCCAGGAGTCACACAGCAAGGAAGGAGAGCTGGGATTCTGAATCCAGGCAGTCTGGCTCCATATGGGTGTTCTGGATCAAGCTATAAAAGCAGTGACCAAGACACAGAAAAGCCTGCCCTCAGGGAGCTGTCAGTCTAGCAGGAAGTGAACAAGATAAATAAGGAAAGTACAGAGCTTGGTGGATGGGGACTTCTCATTCTGTGAGCATTTATCCCTTTCATCCTGTCTTCCATTCATTCTCTGGCAATAGTCCATCTGTCTGTCCTGCTTCCTCCCCCGGGGGGTGGGGGTGCTGGGGGTGCTGCTCTAGCTCTGATGGGAACCTCCACTGAGTCAGTGTGTCCCATCTCAACCCGTCACTTAAGTGTCTGCACAGACCAAGGTCCAGAGAGAAAAAGGACCTGCCAGGATCACTCAGGGAGCCAGAGACAGGTGGTAACCAACCCCAGGTCTGCATTCCAGTAGAGAAACTCTCCCCTGTCTTTTTTTTTTGCGTGTCTGTCCAAGTAGCTCTTTCTTCTTTTGTCTCTTTGACGCTCCCAGTTGGCATTCTATGTGTCTGTTCATCTCCTTCCCTGTCTCGGTTCCTCTACACTCCTTCCCTCACTCCCTCCCTCCTCTGTCTCTCCCCCTGCCCCCACACTCTCTCCCTTTATCTCTGTCTCTCTCTCCTCCATCTCTCTCTCTCCTCCATCTCTTTCTCTCCCTCATCTCTCCCTCTGCCTCCCCCCACCCCCGCACAAAAAGACATTCCCAGCCCCCATCTCTCTCTTCCTCTGCCCCTGCCCATCTCTCTCACACCTTTCTCCAATCTTTGGAACTCTCTGATTACCCCACTCCTCTCCCACCCACCCCTCTCTTTCTTCTCCTTCAGTACATCTTTGTATCTCTCTGTCCCTTCCCTGGGCACCACCGTCTCTCTAGAAGTCTCACATTGAAATTGGAGCCACAGCTATTCCCCTCCTCCAAGCACTGGTCTCCCGTGTGGTTGGCTGACTCTGGTCCCTCCCCAAAAGCAAGGGAAGAGGGTCCTTTGGAGAGAGGGGAGAAGGTGTCAGAACTCAGGGGGATCCACAGAGAGTTCCTGAATCCCTCGATGACCCCCGACGCTTCTCCAGCTCAGTCAGACTCTCTTGTATCGCAGGGGAAGACAGACTGGGACCCCAGAGCCCTTCTTTTCTGGCTCCCCACCCACACGGAAGTCCTCCTTGAGGTCTGACCTCAAGTCTCCAGCTGCCCTAATCCACCGTCGGCTTTCACACGCCCCGGGGCTGGGATGAACCCCCAGTGTCCGGGTCTGAACCGGATCTCCCCTGCGAGGGCGGGGCTGAGACTGGGGGGGAAGCCCTGAGGGGACCTGCACCCCCATCCCAGGAGGCTGGAATTTCTCCCCTTTCATTTCCTTATTGTCTCTGGAGGAGGGTGTGACACGGAGCACAGGGAGGCGGTGTGAAGCCAGAAGCTAGTTTCTAATCCTGGTCACAGCCTAGGACCTCAAGTGGCCCCTATACTCCGAGAGGCTTTAGGTTCTCCATCTAGAAAGTGGCGGGGGGGGGGGGGGGGGGGGGCGGGAAGCAGTTGGACCAGCTGATTGGTGAGAACCAGGGGCCTGAGGGGATGCCTGAGGGTTATAACTTTCCAATTCCCTCTAGACAAAGAGCCAGCCTGGTGGAGGGGGGTGCCATCACCCCAGCAGAAGGGGGCAAGAAGCAGTGTGGGGTTCTCCCCAGTGCTCAGTTGCTGAGTGAGTGCAGAAGTTTCTCCTCTCATTGTTCTGACCCAGGTGGAGGAGGTGGTTTTGTTGATGGGAAGGTTGAGGAGATCCTCATACAGTACGTCCATTTCCAGCCCCCTACAGGTCATCTCTTCCAAAATATGCCCCCAAATGCTGACTATCTCTAGACCGTCCCTCAATTTCAGAGACAATTTCCACGCACCTTGTCCCCTAAGCTTCAGGCTGTGCCCCAAATAATGACTCCTTCAGCCTAGAGCCCTGCAATTTACTTCTTAAGATACACCTCCAAAACACTGATTTATAGTTGGTACCCTTAAAGCACACCCCCAGGCTCTGAACTATGCAAGGCGTTCAACTGAGATTCTCCTACCACCTGGGAGCCTCCACCACCAACCTGGTCTCTGCCTTCCCCACCCTAGAACCGACATCTCCTCCATCTCTCAATGCTCCCAATCCCTTCCCTGCCCCACCCCACGTGCACCTCACACCTCCACAGCCCCAGGACTGGCCCCTCCTGGGCACCTTGCCAAGCCTTGCAGGCCTGGGTATCCAGGAGTCCCACCCTACAGCTTCAAACCCCAGACCCAGAACTCAGGCACGCTGGGGCCCCTGTAAACCCCAGATCTTAGTGTCTTTGGCGAACTCAACCTTTGCAGTCCCACATCCCACCTCAAGCCCACAGTCCCCATCCAAGTTAGAAACCCAAGTATCCAGACCCCCATAACCTTCTGGCTAGGACCCTGTCCCACCTCCACTTCATAATGTTGGCTAGAGAGCAAGCAGGCTAAGACGGAGTACTTGAAGCAAGAGGAATGCAAGTTAGACCTGGGGAAGGACTTTCCGTCAGCTAGGGCAAGCGAATTATTAGTCTCTGCCCCCTATTCCAGGGAAGTCTTGTCCTGTCAGAGATGGGACTGGTAAGGACATTAGCAACTTGTGGAGATGGTGGACGGTAGGGTGGGTCGGGAGTGCCGAAATCTGAAACCCTCCAGACTCCAGCAAGGAGAATCCCTGCTGAGGGTCTCTAATAACTCTTAGACCCCCGAAGTTCAGCTGGGAGGGGTGAGGGTCAAGAGTAGGGACCTACTAGGTGGACACTGACCCCTTCTGCTGCCAGTGCTGTTGCCCCTACCCCCTGCTCTCAGGATCCCGACTCTGACTGCATCCGGCCCCTTATCTATCTGAGTCCCAGCTCTTAAATCACCTGTTATTTCACACTCCCCAAACCAAGCTTCATTTCTGACCACCTTCATCTCTTATCCTTAGCACCTACCCCTATTTCTGACTTTAAAATAGAACTCAACCCCAATCCTTATCCCAGAACCCCAATTCTTACATCTACCCCAGACCCTCACCTTTCACGCTAAATTCTAACCCTGAGCTCTCGGCTCAGACTTCTCTTAATGGTGACCTCCCTCTCCCATCTCTTAGTCACTATATTTCCCCCTAATTTTGAACCCCGTTGCCTAATCCCTCAGCTCTTTCCGTATCCCGGAACTCTGATTCCTATCTTTGGTTTATTCATTTTAATTCCTTTTACTTTGGGTCCCTGACACTCAGCCCTCACGTATGAGCTATGACTTGACCCTTGGCTGAATATTCCAGACTCCCATTTAAGCCCTCACTCCGACAAGCCTGCCTAAACCGCGCTCCCGTGCATTGTCCCCCGTCTCTGACTCCTTACACCTGGTCTCCGAGTGTCCAGTTCCCCCGCTCCCAGGTTCTATTTGGGGCCACCGTTTGAGTCCACACCCAGTTCCTTACCCCCATTTAACCCCGCACCCTGATTCCTGCCCGCCCCCCCTCCCCCGCCAATTCCCGCTCCGCCATCCCCGAGGACACACCTCGCCCGCCTCCGGGTAGTAGCTCCACTCGGCCAGGTCGTGGGCCTCCATCTTCACCGAGCCCAGCATCCCCCGGGCCTGCGCCCCCACCCGCCCCCGCTCCGGCCCGGGGAGAACCGAGAGTTTCGGATCTCTCGGCCGGCACTGCCCGAGTTCCGACCCGCGCCCGTCCGTCCGACCGCCCAGGGTCCCAGTCGTCCAGGGCGCCGCGGGAGGCGGCCACGCTTTATAGCCGGGACACCCCCGCCCTCGCCCGCCCTGGGCTCCCCTCCCGCCTCCCCGAGGGCGGTGCGCCCGGATTGGGGCGCCCCCTGCGGGATTGCGAGGAGACAGACCTCAGGCGCCGGGATCCGCAGCCCGGGGACGGGAGACCTGGGGACGGCCGAAGAGTGAGGGAGCTGTAAGTGGGAAACAATTGCTCATTCTAAAAGCCTCGAGGGCAGAACTCTAGGTCCCTTCTACTTAGGGTTTTCATCATCTCAACTGGAGCAGGCGAACAGCCAGCAAGGCTTGTTGGAGTGGAAAGGGGGCTCAGAGCCGAGTGGTCTCCAGAGGTTCCGCTGTTACTTACTATAAGGACCGGTAGTAGCCCCTCGAAACCACATTTCCCTTTGGACGGACTGGAAGACTGAAGCTTCTCATAACTGAAAGTGCTCTAGATTGTGTAAATGGCCAGGAAAAAAAGTGGAGGGGATCGGGGCCTCTGCTCAGATACCGCTGAGACTGCAGACAACCTGCAAGACCTAGGAGCTTCGCTTACCCGACTCTGTTCAATCTAACATCAGCCGTCCAGGGAACCAGAGTCTCCGTGAACTCCATTTCCCAGAAGCCTCCAGCCCCCTTTCCGTCCCGCCCCCTGTCACAGGACTACACTTCCCAGGAGGCATGGCGCCCGAAAGCCGGAAATGAAGGGCTACCCAGGCTTCGCAGAGGGGGAGGGCGGAAAGCCGCTCGCGCGGTACGGGCCGAGGCGCAGGTACAGAGTGGACTCCATTTCCCAGCGACCCGCCGAGTGCAGTGATTGCGTAGTGTCACGGCGGCGAGCGGAAGATGGCGGCGTCGTCTGTGAAGAGGCGCTGCTGAGGGGGCGCGAGGGGGACGGAGGCCGGAGCCGCGGTGAGCGGGGGGCGAGCAGCGTGGGGGCCAGGGACGAAGGGAGGAAGGACTCTGAAAGGGTAGGGGCGCTGTCGGGGGCAGTGAGGACACTGAGAGGAGAAGGGAGCAGAGACGCTCGGGACCCCAGTTGCTTCCCAGCTTTTGGACCCTTCCGTGGCTCCCCAGTACCCTCAGGGCAAAGTTCCAACGTGGCCGCCAAGGCGCGTCCGCACCCCCGGCCTCAGCTCTGCCAATTTGCTGGTCCCTCTTTTCGCATAGCTGCACTGGCCTTTCGATTTCCTCAAACTCGCCATACGCTTTCCCGCCTCAGGCTTTTTGCACATGCCGTCCCCTCTGTCTGCAACATCCTTTTACTCATTCCGCCTGGTTGACTCCCATTCATCTTTCAGATCTTGGCACCAACGTCACTTCCTCTGTGAAGCCCTCCTTTCCCGCCCTCCGTCCCGAAATCCGCCTGTTGGACGATCTCATAGGTCGCTGTTCCTTTCCTTCATGTCACTGGGGGGTCTCGCTTGTTATTGAACCTTTATTTGTGTGGCTCCTTAGTCCTATCTGCCCAGGAGCCCCACGGTGGGTAGGGACTGGGGGTGTGTCGGTCTCCGCTGTGTTTCCAGCACTGCGGAATCGCGCTGAAAACTCCCAGTTAAGGTTCGTTGAATGAATGAAAGATTCTCAGAGGCCACTCTGTGTATGTGAGGGAAATCGTCGTGCTCCAGGTGGGAGGGGGGCGGCAGGACTCCATAAGGAGCACAGCGAGACGGAAGGGGAAACGATGATTATTGGTGATAGCAAAAGACTACAAGACACTCCCAGATATTCTTTAGTAGGGAGACTGGCAGGAAAAAAACGGATAGCCGTCAGAAAATAAAATATCATGGAACTGTAAAAAGGAATGAGGGAAGGGGGTAAAAAAGGAACCAGAGATAAAGAATGGACTGCAGCATATATTAAGGGAAAAAGCAGAATGGAAAACAGTGCTTATCGTATGCTTCCTTTTGACAAAAGTAAAGGAAATACTTGAAAGTTGCTCAGTCGTGTCCCACTCTCTGCGACCCCATGAACTATACAGTCCATGGAATTCTGCAGGCCAGAATACTGGAGTGGGTAGCCTTTCCCTTCTCCAGGGGCTCTTCCCAACCCAGGGATCGAACCCAGGTCTCCTGAGTTGCAGGTGGACTCTACCAGCTGAGCCACAAGAGAAGCCCAAAGGAATTATGGATATACATTAAAAAAAAAAAAAGTGGAAGAGGAAGGACACCAGGTAAAAAGTTTGAGTGACTCAGTGTATTCTCATCATGAAAAGAAAAGTTCATCATGAAAGCGTTCATTGTGTTCTTCTGGGAAACAGCAGTATACTGAATTGTTGGGTGGCCATGACCTTTAATTTGCATGAACTGGGGGGCAGGGGAAGCAGTTCTTTTTAGAGAGGCAGTTCAGCATGTTACTGAGAAGGCTAGGTTCTGCAGCCAGGCTGCTGGGTCTGCATCTTACAAGTTGTGAGCCTTTGATCAAGTGATTTTACTTCCTTGGACTTCAAATTTCCTCATCTGTAACATGGGAACTGGGGCTTCCCTGGGGGCTCGGTGGCAAAGAATCTACCTGCAGTGCAGGAAACTCAGGTTTAATCCCTGGGTTGGGAAGACCCCCAGGATGAAGAAATGGCAACCCACTCTTGTACTCTTGCCTGGGAAATCCCCTGGACAGAGGAGCCTGATGGGCTACAGGGTATTGTGAGGTTTAAATAAGTTACTATGTGAGAATTGTGCCCAGGGCATATTAAATGTTCAATAAATATTAGCTGTTATTTTTCAAGCATTCCTAGAGCCAAAGGGCGTACTAAGGGATACTGAGGGATGCTAAGCCCAGTGATTGTTGAAGCCCTTTGACATTTACTCAGCAGATTTTTTTTTTAGTCTTTTGGTCATACTGCGTGGCATGTAGGATCTTAGTTTCCCATCAGGGATCAGACCTGTGTCCCCTGCATTGGAAGTTCAGAGTCTTAACCACTACCACCAGAGAAGTCACACTCAGCAGATTTTTATTAAATACTTACTAGATGACTTCCCTGATGGCTCAGATGGTAAAGCGTCTGCCTACAGTGCTGGAGACCCGGGTTCAATCCCTGGGTCGGGAAGATCCCCTGGAGAAGGAAACGGCAACCCACTCCAATATTCTTGCCTGGAGAATCCCATGGACCGAGGAGCCTGGTGGGCTACAGTCCATGGGGTCACAAAGAGTCGGACAGCTGAGTGACTTCTCTTCTTCCCTGGGGGCTCAGTCGGTAAAGCGTCTGCCTGCAATGCTGGAGTGAAGTGAGTGAAGTCGTTCAGTTGTGTCCGACTCTTTGTGACCCCATGGACTCTAGCCTACCAGGCTCCCCCGTCCATGGGATTCTCCAGGCAAGAATACTGGAGTGGGTTGCCGTTTCCTTCTCCAGGGGATCTTCCGGACCCAGGGATCGAACCCAAGGATCGACCTCTTGAGCCACCAGGGGAGCCCAACGCTCCCTGGAGCATTGGAGACCCGGGTTCAATCCCTGGGTCGGGAAGATCTCCTGAAGAAGGAAATGGCAACCCACTCCAGTATTCTTGCCTGGAAAATCCCATGGATGGAGGAACCTGGCAGGCTACAGTCCATGGGGTTGCGAAGAGTCAGACACAACTGAGCGACTTCACTTCTTCACTCGGTGCCAAGCACTGTTCCATGCTGGGGACAGAGAAAGTGAACACACACACCTCTTCCCTCATGAAGCTTATAAATATGTAGTGTGTTTATAATGATAAATGCCATGGAGAAAAACAAAGTGACACAGATGGTGAGGGAGAGTAAGTGGAATTTTGAAATAAATGGTCAGGGAAGACCTCACTGCTGGGATACTTGAGTTGAGACCTGAAGGAGACAAGGAGGAACGGAGGTATGGCAGTATCTGAAGGGAGGGGTAATCCAGGTAGAGGGAAGAGAAGCACAAAGGCTCAGAGGGAGGGATGTGTTGGTGTGGTGACAGGAGGCCGGAGTGACTGGAGCAGAAGGAGCCGAGAGGAGGAGCAGAGACTGAAGAGCCAGATCGTGTGAGGCCTCCCTGGCCTTGGGGATGACTTGGCTTTGACTCTGAGCGAGATGTGGGGGTGACGGGCAGCAGGGAGACTAGGAAGGAGGCTGTTGGGTAGTCATTCTTTCAGCAGATACCTGTTAAGTGTAAACTGCTGTGTACAGTATATTATGATTCTTTCAAAAGATGCATCTTTTGCACCTCCTCAAATTATTAACAGTTTATGCAACAGTCTTCAGATCTCTTTCCCTGCACGTGAAAATCCGCTATACTTATCTCATGTTTACTATGTGCGATAACTCATCTCATCCTCAGAATAGTTGTGGGAGATCAACACTGTTACTATCCCTGATTTACAGGAGAGACAGCTGAGACCCAGCTGTTTCTTGCCTCAGGTCATTCTGTGTATATACATACACAAACTTTACAAAAATCAGTTGAATTGTATACATTCCTCTGAGGCAGCAGACTGTCACTGTCATCTTTTCATGAAGATCCTTCTTTGAGACCCATCCTTTTTTTTTTCCTATTTCCTGCCTGTTCTACTTTTTGGTTTTTCCTTCCACTCTTTTTTTCTTTTTTTAACAAATACATGTATTTTCCCCTTCTTTTGTGAAAAGGGGACATACTGTAAACATTGCCTTCACTGTGCTTGTTTTTAATTTAATATGTGCTGGAGCCCACTGTTTATCAGCACACAGAGAGATTTGCCTCATTCCTTTTTACAGTTGCATAGTATTTTATTTTGTGGATATATTGCAGTTTTTCAGTCCATCTCCCTATTTGAGAAGACTCGGTTTGACAGTCGTCTTTTGCTACTAGGAATAGTGCTGTAATTGATATCCTTCTTATTTCTTGATTTTGCCAGTGTGACTTTGTGAGAGATATCCAGAGATATCCCCCACTTATTTTAAAACACAGTGTCATAATATTCCAGAAAATGGCAGAAGTATAATTTATTTGATTAGGCCTTCTCTGATGTATTGAGTACTTACCTACTGTGTGGAGGACCCAGAGTTGTGTTTCAGAAAGCTTGCTCTGGTGTCCAGTCCAGAGTACAGCCCAGCTGGAGAGACGAGGGGCACTGAGGCCAGACAGAGGTGGCTGCTCTGTGTGCATCTGTTCAGTCCTCCAGCAGTTGTTTGTGGTCAGCCTGCTCTCTGTAAAGTACTGGGGGTGAGGCTTGGTTCTCCACGGGGTACAGCCTCTTAGCCGGGAGACACCAGTCTCCCCCCAGATTACAACCCCACGAATACATACAGTCAGATCCAGACTCTGGAAGGGGGAGGGGCTTGAAAGGACCCAACAGGCTGGGAAGGAGGGTTGAGCCCTTCACAGAGAATGGGGTAAAGGCCCAGAACTTGCTCCATCCTCCTCTCCAGGGAGTACCGGGCAGCAGCCATGGCAGGCAGCAGTGGGGACAGTGTCACACGCCGGAGCGTGGCATCACAGTTCTTCACTCAAGAGGAGGGGCCAGGCATCGATGGCATGACCACATCAGAAAGAGTGAGTATGGAGAGAGAGGTTTGGAGTGGGGAGGCTCAGGCCCTCTCTGGGGCGATCCACCCCTAGCTGGAAGATCTCAGGAGTGCCGTAGGAGCTGGGCTGGCAAGGTGAGCACCCTGACCTGCCTTTCACCTTCCTTCCAGGTGGTGGATCTCCTGAACCAGGCAGCACTGATCACCAATGACTCAAAGATCACAGTGCTCAAACAGGTGAGGGGGAGAGGGCGATGCTGGGCTCAGCAGGACAAGAGGAGCCGGGATGGGAACCTCGGAAGAAGAGGGCACTGGTACTAACGCTCGTGTCCACGTTTAAGCACTCAGGATACGGCACGCAGTGCTGTTTGGCCACACTATCGTTTGATTCTCACAAAAGCTCTCTGAGGCAGGGTGATTTCTTCTCTGTTTTGCAGAGAAAGAAGTAGAGTCTCAGAGCTTAAATTAGCCCAAGGTCACTCTGCTAGGACCTGGCAGAATTAGGACCCGAATGCTGGATTCAGACTCCAAGTGCCTTGCTCTTGATCCTCGGGTTTCTTCTCTGCCAGAGCCCTGTCCAGTGGGGAAGACATCTAGGTGACCCAGCAGTGAGGACCCAGAGTGGGCAGGTCTGAGATGGAGGCGCCCGGCGGGGTGTGGAACCCAGAGGGGGCTTCTGACCCCGCCTAGTGGCAGGCAGTCAGGGAGGGCTTCCTGGAAGAGGGCTGTCTGAGCTGAGACCTGGAGGAGGAGAGAACCAGGCCGAGGGAGAGTGGGAGGGTGTCTTTGGCAGAGGGCAGAGTAGCTTGTACAGAAGCAAAAGGGGTGGGGAGTCAGGGGGTGCTGAATGTGGTTCAGAACAGGAGGCAGATGGAGTTCAGGGGACCCCAGTTCTACTTGTTCTGCACATGGCCTTGGGTAGCCAACACCACCTCAGCAGCGAGTGGGGTTCTGATGGGGCCTCCCTCATGGGTGGTTGTCAGGACTGTTCACCAATAGTGCCTTGGCTCATAGGCGCTGAGCTTCTATGAGAGTGTCTTTGGGAAGGGCTTATTCCAAACAGCCTGGCAGGTATTACACAAGGGCCTCAGGAAATGGGCTCTCACTGTGATAAAATGCCTGCTGAATTGTGGCAGTTGAATGGGGAGTAGAAACAGAAGGAGGGTAGAGAGATTCGAGTCTCGCGACACCTCTCTCTTTTCTTTAGCCCCCATCTGTATCATATGCTCACTGGCCCACCAGGACCTGTGCCCTGTAGCATCTTCTTATTGAAGCCTCACAGTAGCCCTGTGAGCTGTTGTTTCTGGTTCCCGTCTTACAGAAGGGCAGACCGAGGCTCGGGAAGCCACTTGCCTAGGCCATGCTGAGAGTTGAACTGAATTAGAACTGAACTTGTCCGCTGCTGCCCGCATGCTGTTTTCTCCTACACACGCCTGTCTGTACTGACTGGTCCCTGGTTTTACACGTGTGTCCTCCTCCTCTTTCCCGATCTACTTCCAGGTCCAGGAACTGATCATCAACAAAGATCCCACACTACTGGACAACTTCCTGGATGTGAGTGGCCAACAGGAGACAAAGGGTATGGGTGTGGGGATAAGGGAGTGGATCCTGGTGCAACTCTGACCCACCTTCTTCCTGACCCCGGCAGGAGATCATCGCTTTCCAGGCAGACAAGTCCATCGAAGTGCGCAAATTTGTCATCGGCTTCATCGAGGAGGCTTGGTACGGGGCATTGCAGGACACCCGTGGGAGCACCCCTACTGGAGTCGGCCTCTTGGGCTCCTGGCCTGGCCCTGCCCTGAGAGTCTTGCCCCCTGCTTCCCACAGCCATCCTCCCTCCCTGATTCCCCAGCAAATACTTAATAAGGTCCAAACCTTGGACTCATCCACTCTTCCTCTACTTCTTCCACACTTCACATCTACATCATCAGTAAGGACTGTCGACTCTGCCTTCAAACTGTAAACAACATCTGACCATTTTTCAGCCACTCCCCTTGCTGTACCAAATACTTTTTTATTCGATCCTCATACATGGGATTATCTGTTTGGCCCATTTAACTGAAGAGAAAACTGAATCAGAGAGGTGAAGTGAGTTTCTTAAGGTCACACAGCCAGTATGTGGCAGTGCTGGGATTTTAATCCATGTCCATAACACCATTGCCCAGATTCTCAGTCTCCCATCTTTTACTGGGAGAGTTTTTTTTTTCCAATTGAGGTATACTTGATTTATAATAATATATTATTTCCAGATATACAACATAGTGATTCAAATATTTTATAGATTATATTCCACTCGACTATTATAAAATATTGACTGTATTCCCTGTGCTGTACAATATATCCTTGAGGTTTATCTATTTTGTATGTAGTAGCTTATACCTCTTAAACCCCTTACCCCATCTTGCCCCTCCCCCATTCCCTCTCCTCACTGATAAGCATTAGTTTTGTCTTTTTTTAACATGTTTTTTAACATGTTAGCAAATATAGCACTTTTGATTTTTAAAATTTTAACTTTTTCCAAACAAGCCAAAAGAGAAGAGTGATATTTTTTTGAGGTATAGTTGATTTATAATATACTAATTTCAGTTAAGTAACATAGTGACTCAGAATATTAATAGATTATTACTGGGACAATCTGTGGTATGTTTTCTGAGTTTGCCAAAACACTTTTTGTTCCAGATATGTATCACGTGACTGCTATGTGCCAGGCATTTGTGTCAGGCTGTAGAAATAGAACAGTGGATAAAAAAAGATATTGTTCCTGCCTTCATGTAGGTGATAGTTGAGTTTCATAGTTTTTGACTGATTAGCTTAATATTTGAGATTGTAACATGATGTGAAAATTCACATTCTGAGCTCTAGGTGTAGCCTTATTCATTCACTGAACAACTATTTATTGAAGGCCTCTTCATTCTTTGCTTCAATAAAAACTGAGACTCCGCTAGTATTCAGATGGGAAAGAATCCCCTACTTTCAGAGCCCTCCATCTTATGTAAACAAATTAGTAAACAAAACTCATGATTACGTAAGACAGTGCTTTAAAATATTAATGACTGATATCTATTGAATGCTTTCTATACTGTTCTAAGAGCTTTACATATATTGTTGTAGTTTTCACAGCAAGCCTTGAGGGAGGAACTATCCAAAATGAGACAAAGGTGCTTGTTCAGATTCACACCCGTGGTCTGGCACTGCTGCCTCTTAGGTGAACTGTGGGGCCCTAATAGTACGAAAGAGCAGGCGTCGCAGGACCAACCTAGACAGTGTTCAAGCGCCCCTATGTCCGAAGGTACCAGATGCTGGCAAACACAACAGGTGCCCACCTACATTCCAGTCTTCTGACACATTGGCCCTGATTTCCCTTTCCTTGTGAGCCGCAGGCTCCCGTCACCTGCGCAAAGGCCACCTTGACCTTGCCTTTCTTCTTCCATCCCCAGCAAGCGAGACATTGAGCTGCTGCTGAAACTGATCGCGAACCTCAACATGCTCTTGAGAGATGAAAATGTGAATGTGGTGAAGAAGGCCATCCTCACTATGACCCAGCTCTACAAGGTGGCCCTGCAGGTAGGAGCTCCCTGCCCACCTGGGGCTGTCCCAGCCTGACAGGTCTCATTCATCTGTTAGAATTCAAAACCAGCGTCAGATCACATCTTTCAAGGTCAAGATGTGCTGTCAGTCTTCAGGAACAGACAACGAGGGGCTCTAAATTCTAATAGCCCAGGAGTTGCCATTAACCCATCTTTCCCTGCATCCATCCATCCATTTATGCATTCCACAAGTGTTCCCGGAGAACCAGCTCTTGTGACCAAATGGGCCAGCTGGGTCCACACTGTGGTGTGTTGTACATTAGCATTATTGAAAGGAAGAAATCCATTTACTCTCTGCCACCACCTTGTGAGGTCAGCATTGTTGTTCCTTTGGCTTCTTTAAGATCTGAGCCTTCAACACTCAGGCTTGTCAGTACCTCTGAACCTTATGAGGGCAGAACCAGGCCTCACTTGGTCACCAATGGGTCCTGTCCCCCGCATCACCTAGCCCAGGGCCAGGGACGGAGTTGTAACTCAGTGGACGTTTCCCCAGTGAATGTATTTATCATCGTTTGTGGATCTCTGAGTTGTGGTGGAGTCGGTGATTGGTGTCCTGTCTGTCCACCCCTCCCCGACCCACACACAGTGGATGGTGAAGTCACGGGTGATCAGCGAGCTCCAGGAGGCCTGCTGGGATATGGTGTCGGCCATGGCTGGGGACATCATCCTGCTGCTGGACTCTGACAACGATGGCATCCGTACCCACGCCATCAAGTTCGTGGAGGGCCTCATTGTCACCCTTTCGCCTCGCATGGCTGACTCGGAGGTGCCCCGACGCCAGGAGCACGACATCAGCCTGGACCGCATCCCTCGTGACCACCCCTACATCCAGTACAGTGAGTGCCCTGTCAGCTGGTGCCGTTGGTCTGTCACTGCACCGGCTCCCTTCTCCTCCTTCCCCTTTTCCCCCTTTCTTAGTTTTTCATTTCTGGAATCAGTTTAATACAGTGCTTAAGAGCCCTGATGCCATGTTCAGATCTCAGCGTTACCTCTTACTCATGTGAGCTTGGGCAAATTACTTCTTTCTGAACTTTATCTTCCTTTTGTAAAATGAAAGTGGTAGTAGTACCCTTCCAGGCTTGTAGTGCTGTTCCATGAGAATGTGAGCACTCAGTAGTAAATACCAGCTAGTTATACAGTTTTTCTGATTGCAAATTATAAAAATAGTACATGCACGTTTTAGTGCCAAGCAATAAATATAGAGGAGTAGAAAGGGAAATTACCTCCTTCCCCAGTCCTGCTTTTCAGAGATGAATATTGCTAAGAGCATTGTTTCCTTTCGGACCTTTTCTATGCAAAGATACGCATTTATATGTGTATATTCATAGTTTCTGTGTTTGTTGGGTTTGTTGTTTACAGAAAACAGGGCCATGCTTAATACTTCCAGCTGAGAGGCATGAAAATGTAGTGACTTGTGTTTGAATCTCTGCTTTGCCATTGAGCAACTGACCTATGCTCTCTGAGCCTGTTTCTTCATTGGTAAATCCGGAGTCGTTACTATGGCATCTACTTTAGGGTGTTAGAATGAGCTTTTGGTGAGTTTATATGGCTGGCATAGTAAGCATTCCACAGATATTGGCTGTTCTTCTATATTGTTTGACCACCTTTTGAACTCAACAAAAATTAAGTTATATCTTTTCCAAACAGTATCACGTTCAGATGTTCAGAATGTTCCATTAGAATGGCTACATTACATTCTATATTTTATTCACTGTTTTGTATAATGTCACATCCAATAGGTTTTTGCAAAGAAATGTCGGGAAAGATATTTGCCACAGTTGTTAAGAGTTAACTTTTGGTGACTGGATCGAGGAACATGGTAGTTCAAAGAATTTTGAGTCCTTTATCTTGTGTTGTCACATGTATACATATTCAAAGTTTTACATCAATGTAGTTCAGATTCCTTATAGTTGGATATTTTAAGTTATTTCTACTTTGTCAGTATTGCAAGCCCACGCTTTGAGCGTCATCCCTAGATTTTTATTAATAGTATTATAGTCAGACTCATCATGCACTGAATCTCCTGAGTTTTTTCAGCCAGTCACAGCCATCTATGTACGAGGATCTTTCTCCTTTTGGTCCCAAAGACTGGTCTCTCTGGAGGCCAGGGAGAAAGCCACCTACTAACTGGTTCTCTTCTCTCCCTCATTAGATGTGCTGTGGGAAGAAGGCAAGGCAGCCTTGGAGCAGCTGCTCAAGTTCATGGTGCACCCCGCTATCTCCTCCATCAACCTGACCACAGCTCTGGGCTCCCTGGCCAATATTGCCCGCCAGAGGCCCATGTTCATGTCTGAGGTGATTCAGGCCTACGAAACCCTCCATGGTAGGTTGGTCCCCTCCCTCACTTCCCCTGTCCACAGACCAGTCTCCTCTTTTCTGAGAAAATGTGGGCTAAATAGCAGGCCCCTAAAGCATTCATCATCATCAATCTAGTAGGTTATGGACATAAGGAAGGATTCTCTAGATTAGATACATATCTTTCAGTGATTGCACATGACAGAAATGTGCTTCAGAGCTGGTTTTAACATTGAGGTATGTGTGAGTGAAGTGACCTGGTGTCTAAGTACTTTAAAATACTCCAACTCTTCCCCGCTCTCCCCTAAAAAAGCAGGGAGGATAGATAGATGTGCCAAGATCAGTGAAATGCTGATGGCTCCATGGTGATTCATTACCCTGCTTTCTCTACTTCTGTGCATGTGTGAAACTGAAAAGTGTGGGGCTGAGGTGTGAGTGTGTGAAGATCATGAGTCCCTCCCCCTCTCCTGACTCTTACGTGTCTCTTTCCTAGGGTAGCAAAGATGGCCCCCAATTGTTCCAGGCTTCCATTCCATCTACTTGGCAACCCCATGGGAAAGAGAATGTCTCCTTCCCAGCCATTCCAGCAGAGGTCCAAGGGCTCATTGTTTCTGATTGGCCAAGAAGACATTGTGAGCCTGTCTCCCAACCAATCACAATGGCCAAGGGATTGCAGTGTTCTTACTGCCCCTGAGACTCTTGCCCACTTGGACTGAGAAGGGAGCCAGGGTGGTTCCCTCAAAGGAAAATGGGAGTGTTCTTGGCTGAGGAAGTGGGGAAGGATTCTGGGCAGGCGCAATTGCAGGCATGCTCTTTTGCTGTGGAACAGGGGAGACTCACCTCTCAAGGTGATTGTTAGACGTTTGAAGGTCATTCTGGTGTCAGGGACCAACAGTGAACTGTTGTGGCAGCTCAGTTGAAACATTCTGCAGGTGATTATCACTTTCCCTAGGACAAGTGTGTTGGAATTTCCAGACCAAAGGTAGAGGGAGATGAGGCTTAATGTTTAATAAAAGGGAGGCTGAGTTTTCTGTTTTAAGGTTGACTAATACTGAGGGAGACCTCTCAAGGGAATATCGCCTTGTACAGGGGGAAGGCCATACAGTAGATCTGAGAGTGAAGGAGCTCTGCTAGGAGATGCCTGCCACCACTGCTCAAGCTGGGGCTTAGGAAGTCAGGTGGGCAGGGCCCCAGGAGCTCTGTCTACAGCATAAAGCTCTTGCTACTTTTCTCGCAGCCAACCTGCCCCCAACGCTGGCCAAATCTCAGGTGAGCAGCGTGCGTAAGAACCTCAAGTTGCACCTGTTGAATGTGCTGAAGCACCCAGCGTCTTTGGAGTTCCAGGCTCAGATCACCACCCTGCTGGTGGACCTGGGCACGCCTCAGGCGGAGATCGCTCGCAACATGCCCAGCGGCAAGGATGCCCGCAAGCGGCCCCGAGACGACTCGGATTCCGCGCTGAAGAAGATGAAGCTGGGTGAGCTGAGGAGCCTGGTCAGGCCTGGGAGGAGGTGGTGGCAGGCACTGACCATGTCCAAAATGTCTAATTATTTACAGGAGACCGTAAGCTTAATTTACATAATAAATTATATTGTGTAAATATGATGACATATAATAAGTGGTGTCAAAGTAAAATTATTAAAGAATATAATATACTCAAAAGTAATTATGAATTACTTAAGTTATACAGAAAGGAGTAAAATGAAAATAGTCTCCCTTTCATCCCTCTCCCCAAAAGTAACAAAGCCACAAGTATTAACACTTAGGTTTTCTTTCAGAAATGCCTTTGACATGTAGAGTTCTCCTTCCTGTGAAGTAATTTTGGGGACGGGGGTTGGGGGGGCTACGCTGCAATACACAGATCCCATGATGCTCCCACCCCCCCAAAAAAAGAAAGGATGGAATTTTGTTTTTATTTTTTTCATTTTGAAAAATAACTTACTGGGTATGAAGAGTGAGGTGGGGATCTGTTTTTTTCCACCTATCAACCTAATTTTTTTTTTTTTTTTCTTTATTTTGGCCGCTTCTTGTGGCATGTGGAAATTTTAGCTCCCTCACCAGGGATTGAACCCACAGTCCCTGCAGTGGAAGCAGGAAGTCCTAACCACTGGTTCTCCAGAGAATTCTGTAAATTTCTGATAGCAGTTTTCCAAAAAAATCACACCAGAGCATGCCACCCCAGCAGTGTATGAGTGCCAGATACCCCACTGGGTAAACCCTGGGTATAAATGGTATCCTTGGTTTAAATTTGCTTTCTTGCCTATTTTGGAGTTAGGCTGTGCATTGTTTTACATTTATTAGCTGTTTGCATTTATGTGAAGTACCCATTCTATTGGGCTGTTCATCCTTTTGTAATTGAATTGGAGGGGCCCTTGCTTAATGCAGGGTATTAGCTCTTTATTACATGTGTTGCAGACTTGACGAGATTGTGTAACATGTCATATTTTTGCCTAAATCTACTTAAATCATCATTCTGTTGAACATTCCAGCTTTTCCACTTTTATAACTATAGCTTCAGGGAACATCTTTGCACACAAAGCTTTTTCTCTAAGGTTCATACTAAATTAGTTTTTTCCCTTGAGCTAGAACCTCTGTACTTGTATTCACCCAGCCTGTTCTTGATAGAAGTTGTATGCTATATCTCTGTACCATCAGTGTTTCTGTGAATTCTCTGTACATTTTACCTTAGCTATATCTGTAAGGTTTTTTTTTTTTCATTTGTTTTTATTAGTTGGAGGCTAATTACTTTACAATATTGTAGTGGCTTTTGCCATACATTGACATGAATCAGCCATGGATTTACATGTGTTTCCCCATCCCAATCCCCCTCCCTATATCTGTAAGTTTTTAGGGTAGATCCTAAAAGTGGAACTGCTGTGTTGAAGAGGTATACACGTTTAAAATTTTGACCTGCTATCAAACTGCCCTTCCCAAAGGCCATACCAGTTTACACTTCCACAGTTCACACCCCCACTAACAACTGCCACTACTTTTTTTTTTGGTCCATCATATAGGCAAATTTGTTGTCTTATTAGGATGTTTTACATTTTCTTGATTCCCAGTGAGGCTGAGCACTATTTCCAAGATAGGTATTTTTAAACAATAAAGCTCTGTGAGCTCATTAGTTAACCTTCGTCTTCATGGAGCTTCGTGTGATCGGCCAGGCTAGTGTTTCCATTTCTCAGATGAGGAGAACTGAGGCCTAGAGAGAGGCGGGTAGCTCCCCAGGGTCACATGGCCGCACTGCTCCTGTCTGCTGAAGCTGCTGGGGGGCAGGGACCATCAGGGGTTCCTGGGAGAAGAGAAGGGCCCGGTGCTCCCTCCAGAGAGCCAGCATCTTGTCATCTCCTCCATCCCAGAGCCCAACCTGGGGGAAGACGATGAGGACAAGGACTTGGAGCCAGGCCCCTCGGGAACCTCGAAGGCCTCAGCCCAGATCTCAGGCCAGTCAGACACAGACATCACGGCCGAATTCCTCCAGCCTCTGCTGACACCTGACAACGTGGCCAATCTGGTAAGGACGCATAGGGCCTTTTCCCACAAGGCAGGGAGGAAGGGTCTCCAGTCTTTCCCTGCCTTCCTGCTCCACACTGCCTACCTTTTGCACATATCAGACCTGAAACACTTCTGTTTTCAGGGTTGGGAGGGTGTGGTCCACTGGGCCTTCCTCACCTTGGATGGACCTCTTCTTAGATGATCTTTATTCCTTCAAGAGGTCACTTGTCACACCGCCCACCCCCCCATCATAGTCCCCCTTTGGGTTTTTTAAGTCTCAATCTAGACCCACCCACTCTCTCTCCTTTCCTTTGCAGAGAGGGCCTATTAGGTCTGTTAACTGGAGCATCAGCCCCATGACTTGTTCCTTATGTGGTGTGGGATTGGCATTGGTGGGGTGGGATGACCAGTGTTATTTTTAGATTTTCAAAGATGTCCTGCTCCAAAGTAACAGAACCACTGGTTTGAGTTGATGAGGCAGTTGGAGTGGGGGAGGGGCGAGGAGGTGGGACGGTGTGGTCCTCACATCAGTTTTCTGGCTGTAGCAGCACCGAGACCTTTTTGTTGGACGCGTGTGGCGAATATCTCTTCCCATGCTCGACAGCAGTCACCATCAACTTTCCCTTCTCTCTCCCTAGAGGCTCCAAGGAGGTTAGTTGCTGGGCAGTTGGGGCAGCCAGGAGTTTACTCCCCAGCTCACATCTCTTTGTTGAGCTCCAGGCCTGGGTGTCCGGCCACTTGCATCTTTCTCTCCTTGAGTGTTTTATAGGTACCTCAGACTTAACATGTCAGAACTAAACTTGTGAAATTTCTCCTCCCACTCCAATACAGGCCCATGGCCCCGCCTGTGTTCTTGTCACACATGCCTCTTGTCCCCACATCAAAAACTTGGAAGTTCAACTCTTTGCTTCCTCCTCACCCCCAGTCCTTCCCCTCTTCCCCATCCCATTGACTGACCCCTGCCCTGTCCAGGCCCTGCCCTCTTCCCACAGAGGACCGCTTCTTCCTGGCTCTGCCTGCTGTCCCTGCAGCAGCCGGAGGCATCTTTATGAGTACAAGTCCTGAGTCTCCCCGGCTTAAATCCCTGCCAGGGCTCTCTGCTTCCTTCCAGATAAAACTTAATTCAACTTGCCTTAGGCCATCTGATTTGGCTTCCATCAACTTGTTGTCCCTTATCTATCCCTGTCACACTCCAGGAAATTGTCTTTTTCAAATTATTGGCACGTAGTTGTTCATAGGATTCTTTTGCTCTTGTAATACCTACTGTCTCTGTAGTAATATGCCATTTTTTTGTCCCTAGTACTGTGTCCTTCCTCTTTATTTTGTATATTCTTGCCATAGATTTGCTTGTTTTAAGCCACTTCAAAGAACTGACTCTTAAGTTTTTTGATCATCTTTCGTAACCTTTTCTGTTTTATTTCTGCTGTCTTTTTTTCTTTTTTCTTTGTTTCTGTTGTCTTTCTTTCTTTCATGTTACTTTCTTTCAGTGTTTTTCCCCAAAGTTAAATGCTTGGCTTATTAGTGTTCAGTCTCTGATAGCTCAGTTGGCAAAGAATCCACCTGCAATGCAGGAGACCCCGGTTCAGTTCCTGGGTCGGGAAGATCCCCTGGAGAAGGGATAGGCTACCCACTCCAATATTCTGGCCTGGAGCAAAAGAGTCAGACGCGACTGAGTGACTTTCACTTTCATTTTTCTTCCAATGTAAGCATTTGAGGGTCCTATTTTCCATTTAAGTACCATTGTAGCTGCATCTTACATGTTTTATTTCATTATCTTTCTCTTGTAGTTAGCATGCATTCAAACTTCCAAGCCTGTAGGGGGCTGAAGTTATCTTTTGTTACTGATTCCTGACAGACGTGGATATGTTGTTCTAGTAGGGTACTCATTTTTTGTTTGTTTGTTTTAAATCAATTTCTAGCTCATATTATACTCTGTCACTGAACCTCCTTCCACTCTCCGGGCAGAGTACCAGCCTCTTAGGCTTCTCCCATGCTGTTCCCATACCTGGAATTTACCCACCCACCTGCCCGCACCACTGCAAGGCCTCACTCTGTCAGTCTGCTTCCAGCCCACCTCTCAGTTCTCAGCCTACATGCCCCTGCCCGGAGGAGCCAAAGCTGTCCTTGACCCTCCTGGTGTGACCCCTGGCACTGTTTCTGTTTGTCGTATGCCACCCACATTGCATCAGTACTCGTTTTCTCTCTCACTTGCACAAGAATCTGTGATCCATGAGAGGAAGCCCAGGTCTGTCCTCATCACCGCCATTTTGCTAGCATTGGCCTGGGTGTGGAACCAGCATTTGTTGGGTCAATAAGTAAGGAAGGTTCCTGGCATTGCGCAGGTCCTCATCAGCATGGTGTACCTGCCCGACACCATGCCTGCCTCCTTCCAAGCGATCTACACCCCAGTGGAGTCAGCAGGCACCGAAGCCCAGATCAAGCACCTGGCTCGGCTCATGGCCACTCAGATGACGGCTGCAGGACTGGGGCCAGGTGAGTGCCGCAGGGAGCTGACCAGGGTTGGGGTTGGCACTGGCCACTGGGCTCTCCTTACTGGAAGAGCACCTCTTTGTCGAAGTGCAAATGGAAAACCATATGAGAGCTTAGGTGTCAATAGTCACAGGTCCCATAGATGTAGTGAGTACCTAATATTTTCAGGCCCTGGGCTTTGAAGTCCTGCAGACTTGGGTTTGAGGTCTGAGAGGACCCAGACTACCTCAGCCACTTAATAACTGTGTCTTTGGTCAAGTTACTTAACCTCTCTGAGCCTCCGGTGGTTTCCCATTCTCACTGTGCTACTGAGGTTTAAATTAGGTACAGTGACGCTCACAGCTCAGAAGTGTACAACTTAGTGGATTTTCACGAAGTGAACATGGCCAGTGTAAGCACTACCGAGGTGGAGAAGGACAGTCACCAGCACTCTGAAAAGTTCCTTCTTGCTCCTTTCCAGTAGACTCAATGCCTCCCCTGTCCCCGCTTCTGTCTCCATATGTGAGTTTTAGTTTTGAACTTCTATCAATGGGCTTATAGCCTCTGGCTTACTTTAAACTCGGCATAAGTTTTTGAAGCTCATCCATGTTGCTGTGTAAACCAAGCGTCTATTTTTTATTGCTCATTAGTCTTCCTTTATGTGAGTAGGGCCCCATTTGTTTATCCACACTCCTCTGCTGACGGACCTGTGGGCTTTTTATACAGTTTCTGGCTGTTAGGAATAAAGCTGCTGTGCCCTCACTTGTGTTGAGTTTATACGAAGGAGTGGAATTGTTAGGTCGTGATTTTGGGCATGTTCAGTGCTGTTTGAAACTGCTCATCAGCTTTCTAAAGTGGCGATACCTGGTATTACTCTGACCAAAAGATAATGACGTTTCTTGTTTGAACCTCAGTCGTTTTATTGCAAAGTGGGGATGAAAAATGTTCCAGCTCCAGAAAAGCATTTTGCAGATTTTTTTTTTTTTTCCTAACTTTTTGCTTTTTTGGCCATGCCATAGAACTTGCAGGATCCTTGTTCCCCAACCAGGGATCCAACCCACACTTTACAGATTTAAAGGAATTTTGGGTGCGCAAGGCTTAAGAGTGGAGCCTGGCCCACAGGAGGTCCTTGGGTGGGAGCAGGTGGTTCCGACGCACCACAAGCCAGTCTGCTGCCTTCCCCTCAGGCGTGGAGCAGACCAAACAGAGCAAGGAGGAGCCCAAGGAGGAGAAGGCGGTGAAGCCGGAGAGCGTCCTGATCAAGCGGCGCCTGCCAGCCCAGGGTCAGGCCATCTCGGTGGTGGGCTCCCTGAGCTCCATGTCCTCCCTGGAGGAGGAGGCACCCCAGGCCAAGAGGAGGCCGGAGCCCATTATCCCCGTCACGCAGCCCCGGTGAGTCCCCTGACAGGTGCAGGAAACTGGGGCCTGGTTGTGGCGTGTGTGTGACAGACGAAGGCAGATAAACAGAGATCGGTCTGGGCCAGGTTCTCAGATTCCAGAGTCAATGCCGTAACCACTAGACCTTATCTACTGTTTTCTTGTATATAAAACTACTGTCTTATATCTAAAGTGGGGCTGATCGTATCTCTCTTTGAGGATGAGAGAGAATTAAATGAGTTCACAGTGCTGGTTAGATGATTAGATCAGATGGCTCTTGGGTGCACAGTGATCATGAGGTAAAAAGCACTTAGCTTGGTTTCTAGCACGTAGGAAGTGCTCCTGGTTGCTCCCATCATTGTCCCCATCATCACCTGCCTTACAGACCATAGAATCCAGCCTCCCCCTGCCCTGTCCCCAACCCAGGCTCGCCAGCAGCGCCCTGCCTGACTTGCTGCCCCCCAAGCTCTCCGTTCGCCTTGCTCCCTCCTCCCGTCACACCAGCCTCTTGGTCGGCCAAGCACATCCCCACTTGGAGGCCTTTGCACTCCCTGTTCCCTCTGCCTAGAGAGCTCACCCCCAGACACTTGCGGGTCTGATTCCCTCACTTCATTCAGATCTCATGTCGTCATCCGTTGCCTGCTCCTTATAGCGGCCTCCCCTCAGATACTGTGTACCAAACTAGAAGAGCATCCTCTGCCTTCCCATTGCCCTGCAGTGCCTCACGGTCACAGGGGAGCTGGAGGGACAGCATGCAGTTGTCTCTGTCTGTATAGACTGGGGTGGGGCCTGGCTTCCAGAAAGGATGTTCGGAGTCACCATGTCCCTGTCCCTACTCTTGCACATAGGCTGGCGGGCGCTGGCGGGCGCAAGAAAATCTTCCGTCTAAGTGACGTGCTGAAGCCCCTGACGGACGCGCAGGTTGAGGCCATGAAGCTGGGCGCTGTGAAGCGGATCCTGCGGGCTGAGAAGGCCGTGGCCTGCAGCGGGGCCGCCCAGGTGTGTCCCCGTCCTCCCAGCCCCTCCTCCCAGCCCCTCCTCCCAGTCCCTCTGTCCAAGAGCCTGCCGCACGGCCCAGCGGAGAGACGGGCCTCAGGGTTAACTCTCCCTGGCTTCAGACCCCAGCACTGCCGCTTCCTGGCCGCTTCTCCCAGCCTCACTCTCACCTCCCATAAAGCAGATATGATAGCATAGCAGCAGCTTCTCACAGGCAACGTGGAAAAAGATGTGTGTGGACACGCGTGCTCTGTCCCCCAGCACAGGGTGGCTACAAGGAAGAGCCCCCTGCACGCGGGCTGTCGGGGTGCTTGCTCTTGCTGTGGTTCACAGCATTCTTGTTCTTTCGCCACAGACACACTTACACACCCACACTTGCTTTAAATCCTGATTCTGCCACTTGCTGGGATTGTAACCTCAGTCAAGTGGCTTTTTCCCCAACTTTTGAAGTTTAGTTAAACAAATAGTATATGCTTTCTGTTCAAATTATTTCCAGGCCATAGGGGGACCATATGTCTTCTTTGGCCCCCATCTGGGAGCCATTCCCCTGACAGAAGTGACCAATAAACAAATTCAGGGAATTCTTCAGGATCATTTTCTGTGTACTCAAGATAATACTCCTAAAAATTTACCTATATATATTTTAGATGCACTTTAGATAGAGTGTAGCTATTTGTAATTTTATATATCTATGATTTAGATATTACTCCTAGAAATTTTGGCTATTGCTCCTAGTTTTATTCTGTGTTGATTATTTTTTTCTCCCTTTTCAGTTTTTTTCCTTTCATATAAATGAGACCTCTTGAAAATAAGGTTCTTCAGCTTTCCTTCCTCGCTTAACACTGGGTCTGCGCTGGCTCCCTGAGGCTGGGCGGGAGCAGACGGCAGGGCATGGTTGGGGGTGCCGGGCACTGCCTGCCCCCCCACACCGACACAGATCCTCACTCCTATGTCAGGTGCGCATAAAGATCCTGGCCAGCCTGGTGACGCAGTTTGACTCGGGCCTGAAGGCCGAGGTCCTGTCCTTCATCCTGGAGGACGTCCGGGCCCGCCTGGACCTGGCCTTCGCCTGGCTCTACCAGGAGTACAACGCCTACCTCGCAGCTGGCGTCAAGGGCGCCCTGGACAAATATGAGGACTGCCTCATCCGCCTGCTCTCCGGCCTACAGGAGAAGCCGGACCAGAAGGATGGGTGAGGGGGCGGCCCTGCACCCCGCTGTCCTCAGGGGTCCCCAGTCCCGTGTCTTGCCTTTTCTTTCTGGGCTCCAAGCAGCTCTTCATCAGCACCTGAGTCAGCCCTCCACGCGCCCGTCCCAAGCCGCCACCTCTCCCTGCCCTCAGACCAGGTCTCTGCACTGTCGCTGTGTCCCCCGGCTCTGCTGCTTGCTCTGTGACAGCTGTGTCACTCACCTCGGCCTCCGTTTTCTCCCATGATGTGTGGTGACAGTGCCGGCTTCAGAAGCCTGTTCTGGGTGTCAGCTTCTCGCCATCCCCGTCTCTTGCCTCAGGTGGTTCTGTAGCTTCCTCCTTGTTCTTGACCTCCAGCGTATCCATTCTCCAGCGCACAGGTGACATTTGATAATGTCAAGACTCTATGTCCCCACTAAAAACCTTCCACTGTCCTCAAGAGAAAATGCGACTTCCTTACTAGGCCTCTGTGAGATCTTGTATAATCTAGTCGCCACCAACCTCTCGAGCCTCTTTTTTGGCCTCTATGCTTTTCCCTGCCCCGACTTTAGCCGCACCAGCTTTCAGTCCTGTGTGCTCACACATGCCAGGCTTGGCACTTTTTTGTTCTCTACCTGGGGTCTTCTCTGCCTATTCCTTGCATGGCCAGCTCTTTCTTATCTACCAGCATGACTAAAGCATCTCAAAGCAGCCTTTGGTGGTCACCATGTCTGAAATACAACACCCTTTCCCACTCCCCCCATCATTCCCTCCCACTGCTGTTTTAAACAAGCTAGGAATCCCCATTGGACAAAACTGAGTTTCACAGAGGCAGTCTCTGCCCGTGTCACCTCCCCCTGCCCCCCCAGGCAGCATCTGAACCCTACTCTGTTGCTTCCAGAGCTCTGTAACTCTGTCCGCAGGGGGTTGAGCGAGCGGTGAGCGGTCCTGCCACCTCTAAGCTGCAGTCAGCAGGAGGGGGAAGCCCGGGGCCTCTCCTCTGCAGCTGTACCCTGTCCCTCCCCCTCTGGCAGGATCTTCACCAAGGTTGTGCTGGAGGCGCCGCTGATCACCGAGAGCGCCCTGGAGGTGATCCGCAAGTACTGTGAGGACGAGGTGAGGATGGGCGTGGGCGGGGCCATGTTCGCTGCAGCCTGGGGTGGGCTGGGGGGTTCTGTGAGGGACCTGATCTGACTAGGCAAGAGAGACACCCCCGAGGCACACCACGGTGCCCTGAGCTCCAGCTCCCCTCCTTCCTGCTGCAGAGTCGCACCTACCTGGGCATGTCCACTCTCCGAGACCTCATCTTCAAGCGCCCATCCCGCCAGTTCCAGTACCTGCATGTCCTGCTAGACCTCAGCTCCCACGAGAAGGACAAGGTGACCCCCCACCCCTGCTCTGTGCTGGGCTACACTCAGCCCTTCCTCTGTCCCGAGTCACCAGCCCCGTCTTTTCCACATGCCCCTGAAGGTTTCTGGGCCTGCTGCCCTTCTTGCGACAACTTGGTGGTGGCGGCTTTTCCATCAGCTTTCTTGATGGCATAAGGCTGCTTGGCATGTACACATAGACACACCCCCCTCCCCAGGAATGGCAGTCCATTTCGCTCTTACTCTGCCCATGTTGGTGCACCCCCTCTTAAGGCCTGGTGCTGTGCTGGGACCTGGGGGGGGGCACTGACCAGGAGGGGAGCCATGGTGACCACACAGCCTGTTCAGTGCCTGGAGTGGAGTCGGGTGTGCGGCCAGGGAAGGGAAGCGGTCTAAGGAAGACTTCTGGAGGAGGGGTCGTGTGAGCCAAGAGCTGCACTGAGGGGACGGGTGTGCCCTGCACGGAGGGTCAGCGTGTGATTGAGAGGCCCTCGGTCCATCCCTGCTCCCGCCTGCCACCAGCTCCTTCCTGACATCTCAGGGCCGTTCACTCAGCAAACCCTTCCTGCTGGCTCGGCCCTGTGGTGCCGCTAGGGATGAAGCAGTGCCCGAGACCGGGCCCTGTTCACGTGGCTCCCAGCAGGGGATGTCTGAGGGAAACAGGATCTGGCCAGTGACAGGCATGCCAGCAGTGGGAAGCTTTTGTGGCAAGTCTCAGAGCTGGGGAGGATGCGGTCACTTTAAAAAAGTGGCTTAGATAGTAAAGTGTCTGCCTGCAATGAGGGAGACCTGAGTTCGATCCCTGGGTCGGCACAGTCCCTTGGAGGAGGAAATGGAAACCCTCTCCAGTACTCTTGCCTGGAAGATCCCATGGATGGAGAAGCCTGGTAGGCTACAGCCCACAGGGTCGCAAAGAGTCGGACACAACTGAGCGACTTCACTTTTTTGAGGAACTGAGGAAAGCTCCTTCCAGTTGGAGTATAGCAAGCAAGACGAGAATGAACGATAAGAGATGGGACGGGGCAGGTAGACGGTGGGGTGGTACAGGGCCTTGAGTTGGGCCAGGAAGCCTCTCTCCCAAGCAGGTGACCAGCCTTGGGCACGGTAGCTCAGCCCCGCCGGCCCTTTCTCAGACCTCAGCTTGTTTTCACACCAATGCACCAAGTTCAGGGCAGCCGTCCTCCCCTCCGTCCCCACTCCTCAGGTGCGCTCCCAGGCCTTGCTGTTCATCAAGCGCATGTACGAGAAGGAGCAGCTGCGAGAGTACGTGGAGAAGTTTGCCCTCAACTACCTGCAGCTCTTGGTCCACCCCAACCCGCCGTCGGTGCTCTTCGGGGCCGACAAGGACACAGGTTTGGCTCAGGTTCTCCAGAGGTGTCGTGAACTGGGGGAGACAGCCAGACAGTAAGAACCAGAACGAGCAGGCCTTGGTGGCGAAAGCAGGAGCCTGCGGGAACCCTGAAGGGGCTCCAGGCCCAGCCTGAGGGGTCAGGCAGAGCGTCCTGAAAGCGGGGGCAGCTGGGCTGGAAGCCGAGGCCCAGGAGAGCAAGCCAGTGATGGGACTCCAGGAAGGGCCAGGCAGGTTCTTTGCAGACCATTCCCTTAGCAGAGCCCTGGGTCCTCTGGCACTGCAGACTGGGAGACCCAGGCCCCCAGGGAAGGGTCCACTAACCTGGAAGGTTCCGGCCATGGCAGAAAGCAGGGGGCTTCTGGGAGCATAAGAGCCCCAGTGCAGCCTGGGTGCTGGGCCAGCTTCCCAGGAGATTTGCTGGCTCTGTGACCCTGAGGTGGTGCAGAAGAGGAGCTGGGGGCTTCCCTGGTGGTCTAGTAGTTAAGACTCCATGCTCCCAGTGCAGGAGGCACAGGTTCGATCCCTGGTTGGGGAACTAAGATCCTGCCACACAGCGAGGTTAAAAAGAAAAAAAGTGTTGGGCGCAAGGTTCTAGGCAACAGAGCAGCACGTGCACAGGCTCCAGAGTGGGGGCCCCAAGGGACTGTCAGAGGAGGCTGTGACCCCAGCACACAGCCCCAGAGGCAGGGCAGCCCTGAACAGGAGCTGGCAGGGAGAGCAAGGCGAGGCGTCCCCTGAGGGCCCCGGATGGTGGTGAGAGTGCTGAGTAGAAGAGGGGCAGGGTCAGACGTGCTCTTGGGAAGATCTGTCTGAGTCGGTGGTCAGAGGAGACCAGATAGGAATGTAGGGCAGAGACTTCTAGAAGGGGAGCAGGTCTGGTTGCACCCCATTTCCCAGGACTGGCTTCCTGCCCTGGGACAGTTTGTTTCCAGGCCCAGCTCCCACTCCCTGCCTGCCTGCAGCCCCCCAAGAAGAGCCAGGCGCTGGGCAGGGGTGGGGGGAGTGGGGCTGGCCTGATCTCCCCCCCCCCACTCCCCCACCCCCCCTTAGAGGTGGCCGCACCCTGGACCGAGGAGACGGTGAAGCAGTGCCTGTACCTCTACCTGGCTCTCCTACCTCAGAACCACAAGCTGATCCACGAGCTGGCGGCCGTGTACACGGAGGCCATCGCTGACATCAAGAGGACAGTGCTGAGGGTCATCGAACAGCCGGTGAGGCCCCTGGCCCGCCAAGCTCCGCCCACCAGTGGGCGGGGCTGACCCCAACTCCAGCCCTGCCCCGGAATGTTGTCCCCCTGCTGAGTGCTGAGACTCAGGGTCATCACCCCACCGCCTCCACCCACCCCTGAGGAGACAGCAGGGTAGCCCTGTAGTTAAGAGCTTCCAGTCGGACAGACCTCGGTTCATATTCCATCTGTCCCTTTCTCACTGCGTGACCTTGCACCCTTCAGTTAAAACCGAGCAGGTAATTCAGACCAGCAAGCTTGTTGGAGCGATTCTGTGACCTCATGTGCATGAATACCTGTCTCCCTGTTGTCATGTATGAGCCGTCCGTCCCTCCCCTGCCTTGCTGACAGGAATCTTTACTTGTGGCCCGAGTCCCTCCTGCTCCTCTCTGGAGCCACAGGGTCACCCACAAAAGAAGCAACTCAGTTACAGGCTGGCCTGTGAAATTCAGAATGTCTGTTCTTCCCTTCTGTCACCAGATTTGAAACTGCTCTATCTCTGTCCCTGACATTTTATTACTGAGAATTTCTACCAGAAACCAAAGGAGAAAACGAGGCAGGTTAATTCCCACGTACCTGCCTCCCAGAGTCCACGGGGTCCTTACCTGTAACGTGGGAGTAATAGTCTGGTTGTGAGGAGGAAGCAGACTCTTCTCCCCATTGTCACGGTGAGCCCACCGGACCGTGAGCTCCTTGAGGGCAGCGACTGTCGGCTCCGCTTGCGTTTGGGCAGAGGAAAGCATGGGCCCTTGACGCCTGGCCCTCCCCCGCTCCCTGTGTTTGGTGCCAGTGGGGGGTTAGGGGGAGGCAGCAGACACAGCAACAGGTCGAGCCCTGATCCGAGCCAGCAGCAAAGCTGGCACCCAGAGAGTCACAGGGGGATGTGGGCAGGGGTCACTTGTGCCTGCAGAACCCAGAAATGTCTTCACCAAGGAATTGAAGAACAGCTTGGGCATCAAAGGTCAGGCTGAGTTCCAGAGACCAGGCCTGGCCTGCCTGGTGGGAGGGCAGCATGACAAGATTGCAGGAAAGAGCTGCAGGAGCCTGTGTGTGTGTGAGGTCAGGTGGACGAGACCTGGATGCTTCTGCCAACCTTGCCCACCTTCCCCAGATACTCCCCACTTCTCTGAAGCCTGACGCCCATTCTTTTCTCCCTCTGCTTCATTGAGATACAACCAATGTACAACCTTAGCTTAGCTTAAGGTCTACAACAGTGATTTGATACATGTGTATATTGTGAAGTGATTATTACCATAAGTTTAATTAACATCCATCACCTCAAAGAATTATTGATTTTCTTCTAACAATGAGAATATTTAAGATCCGCGCTCTCTTGCCAGTTCCTCCTCCAGAGTCGCAGCGTCTTCCCAGCTGCCTGGTTTCTGACACCTCCCCAAGCTGGGCCTGGGCCTCCCCAAGCTCTGCCCCTGGGCCCCCGTCCCCCTCATGCCGCCCCGCGTCTCTGTCGTCTCTCTCCCTGTAGATCCGGGGAATGGGCATGAACTCGCCAGAGCTGCTCCTGCTGGTGGAGAACTGTCCCAAGGGGGCGGAGACGCTGGTCACACGTTGTCTGCACAGCCTCACGGACAAAGGTAGCTCCCAGGACCTCATCCTTCTTCCTTCTCCTCTGTCCAGGCCCTCCCCATTTCCCTTCCCAGGACCTGGGGATCAGAGCTGCTGGGTCCCCATACGGTTGGCCCTCTTGTGAATCTCTCCCCATCCTTGGGCCTCAATTTCTCTGTGCAGAAGAGTAGACTGCTAAAACGCATTTGAGAAACCAAGGGACCAGGGATTTCTGCTCTGAAATGGAGCAGCCCCTCCCCGCCCCTGGCACACACCCACCACCATTCGTTTCTCCCCCTTGGTGTCCACTCACTCCACCGCCCCCAGCCCCTGAGCCTCTTGCTTATTCCTCGCTTGCAGTGCCCCCGTCCCCAGAGCTGGTGAAGCGGGTCAGGGATCTCTACCACAAGCGACTGCCAGACGTCCGCTTCCTCATCCCAGTGCTCAATGGGCTGGAGAAGGTACGGAGCTGCATGCCTGGATGCCCCCACCCACGGGGACACGCCTGGCGGGGTGGGGAGGAGGGAGGCACCTGGGCGCCCTCAGATGCTGTGAGCACAGGCTGGGTCTTGTCTGGGTCAGTCTCTACTCAGCAAGCCCTGCCCCTCTCTGAGCCTCAGTTTCTTCCTCGTGTCGAGTGAGTATCCCAGCGATCCACCACTGCCTGTCCTCCTCCCCTCCCGCTCCACCCCGTACACACAATCGTCCTGAGGACAAAGTGGAGCCACAAGAGCAGGGCAGGGGACACCTCCCCTTAAGCGTGTGCTTCCCCTGCCCAGGTCTTGTTCCTCCTAGGCTGTGGGATCTCAGGTGAAACTCCATCTCCTCTTATAGGAGTCATCAACCCGGCCCAGGGGCTCACCTGGGGGGTGATGAGGCTGGGGCTGGGTCAGTCCCAGTGAGCTGGGAAAGCTAAACCTTGAGGGGCCAAAGAGAGGGAGAGGAGGAAAGCACTGGGGGGCTAGGTGAGGTCAGAGCTTGCCCCTCACCGCCCCAGGGCGAGCAGTGGGGAGGCTTCTCTGGAGCAGGCAGGGGGCGTATCTGACCTGCCCTCCCCTGCCTTGCCCTTGTAGAAGGAAGTGATCCAGGCCCTGCCAAAGCTCATCAAGCTCAACCCCATAGTGGTGAAAGAGGTCTTCAACCGCCTGCTGGGCACCCAGCACGGTAGGTGATGTGTTCGCCTCCCCACCAGAGGCCAGCTCAACCCTGGCCCTTGTATCCCTCCCCAGCGGCTCCCCCAGGAGACCCCACCTCAAGTGGCAGGAGGAAGGGGTCTGGGAGGTGAGATGTGGAATACTGGGGGAGGGATGCTACCACATTTTGGTGTGGGGGTGTTCATCTTGCTCTCTGAGGCTGCCATTCAGGCTTGGCGACATCTCAACATCTGTCCCAGAGCTTCTGGGCCACCCTCCCGTGATACTTGGGTGATGGTTTCATCCACATTGGGGACAAAACTGTGGGACTGAGGGCTGACTCTCTATAAGCATCTTCCCTTCCAGGACCTCAAACACGGGCTCCATCCTTGCCCTTCCTCAGCTCTTGCCTGAACCCCTTCGGCTGTGGGTAAGGGGCATTTTGTTCAAGTTTGGACACGTTCCAAAAGAAAGAAAACTTTCAACTTAGACAGACTACCAGATAGCGTAGGGTAGATTCCTCAGCCTTCACCCCAGGGGCTGGAGCTAGGGAGGGTGGAAGCTGTCCTGCATGTGACTTGGTGACTTAAAACACACACGCGAGTGTTTGGGACCCTCGACACCCCACGAGAAGAGGGCCGTCTCCCCAGCCTCGTCCCCGGTGGCATTCAGCCCGAGCACTGTTTGCAAGTCTGTTGCCTGGCCCCCTCTTGTCCTGTCCAGCAGACGCCCTTGCGCCTCTCTGCTGTGCTGGGGACCTGGGATGAGCTCATCCTCGCCCTGCCCTTGTGGGTTCACAGCCTGGGCCAGGACGGGGGAGAGCGGCCGAGCCACACGAGAGATGGTGGGGGCCCAGTGCGGGGGCGAGGGGCACAGTGAAGGCCTGACAGGCCTCTGGTTGGAATGGTTACCGCTGCTGCCTCCTTCAGGTGCCTCCCGATGTTTTCCGCTGCTCCAGCCCTCCGTACCCCTAATCCCAGAGGCCGCCTTGTCTTCCTTTGCCGCTCCCCCAGTCTAGGGGGGCGTGGACCTGTCTCTCAGGCCTCCATACTGTCTCCTCCTCCTCCCCCCACTCCCCCTGCTGCAGGTGAAGGGAACTCAGCCCTGTCCCCCCTGAACCCTGGAGAGCTGCTCATCGCCTTACACAACATCGACTCGGCAAAGTGTGACATGAAGTCCATCATCAAAGGTGAGGTGCATCCCCCCCACCCCGACCCCCCTCTTCAGTGGCCTGGCCATTGCGGACCCGGGGAAGAACCTTGGGCTGGAGTTGGCCCCCACTGGAATCAGCCAAGACGGAGACTGTGCCCCCCTAGCCCCGTCTCAGAACTCCGGACACCCAGCCTCACTCCTTTCCATCCCTCCTCCTCTCCTTCCTTCCTCCCCCACCCCATCTAAGGAAGTGATGCACCCCCTGTGCACCAGCACAGAGCGGTCCTCAGGAAGAGTGGGGGACCCTCCCTCCCCAGCCCATGGGCCTGAGGAGTGAAGAACACAGAGCCCTTGGCCAAGCTGGTCAGAGGCAGGGCAGGCAGCGCACAGATGGTGTTGTTGGACCGGGAGGGCTGAGCCAGGAGAGCATCCCTCCTGGCTGGGCAGTAGGTGACAACCTGGCCGGCTCACCACAGTTAGCAGTTTCCTAATGGCAGCTGTTACTGTTCGCCAGCACTTAGTCTGAGCCTCGCTTTCCTAAGCGCCTCACAGGCCCGCCCACCCAGCCACACCACTGTGTTCCTGGTAAGTCTGCTGACTTCCGTCTTGTAGTCGAAGTGGAGGTTCCAGAGAGGTTAAGTAACTTGCTCAGGGCCACCCAGAAACTAAGTGGTGTGGTGGACAAAACAGAATTGAAAGTTGGGGGGACCCGAGTTGGAAACCGGGTTCTGCCTGCAGATGGCCTCCTGGGTCCCAGGGCGGCGCTCCCTCTCTCCGCGCTCCCTTCCCTTCCTCGGCACTCCCTTCCCTCCCTCCGCGCTCCCCTCCATGTCCTCCATGGCTTCTGTTTCCCAGAGGCAGGAGCCCTCACTGTCCCCTGCTCTTCTCAGAAGACAGCTGTCCTTTGCTTCTTCCTCTGTCCTTTAAAAGCAGGGAGGGGGGTTTTCTTTCCTTGCCACCTAGTTTCTTGTCCTGCCTTAAGTAGCTTCAGTGATGTATTTCATAGTCTTCCTCAGCAGATTCTCTCAGAAATCTTTAGGTCAAGAGAGGAGCTTCTGAAAATATTAAACACATGCTACAGCTGAGCGGGAACTCAGGCCTCTAGTGGAAGCGGTGAAGTGTGCCAAAGCTGAGGCTCCGGAGTGGTCATCTTACATGCCCTGGCCCCTTAGGTGGCTTCTGGAAGTTACAAGCCCATTCCCGAGGACAGCACCCACACATGACCTTGTGTACCGTTTGAGGGGACTCAGACTGTGCTAGCATGGCCTGGCTCTGAAACTGCAGAGTGGACCCTGGCTAGATCTGGTGGTTTGGGGGCAGGGGTGTGGTCAAGACAGGAGGTCAGGCTGTAACGGTGCAGGCCCGCTTGCCACTGACACCCGTTCATGGACGGAGGTTTAGTCCTTGATCTTACACATGGGAACCGGGCCCGGGGGGAAAGGGGCTTTACCACAGGTCACACGCGCAGCCAGCAACCAGGCCCTGGAGATGTCGGCAACGCCCCACGTGGTTTCTTCCTACAAACCCAGGCCCACACGGAGCCTCTGTGTTGCTGAGCTCTCGGCAGCCCTTCAGCTGGTCTCCCTCCTGGCTCTTCATCCCAGAGCACGCTTCTCTGCTCGGGCCCCGTGCTTTTCTCCACTGCACCAGTGACCCTGCTTGACTTAGCTCCAGGTCCCGTTTTGTGCCCCGTTGGACTCCCCAGTGGCTGACAGTATAAGCAGTCACCGCTGGCATTCACTTCCCCTTAAACCACCCTCTCTCCCTGGTGAGCTTTCCTACGGCTGGACCTGTCCCACAGGCTGGCCCAGCGATTAAGACTCACTGCGCACCTCTGCTCAGCCCTGTGCTGGGCCCTGCTGAGGATGGGGACAGTCCTGGCCCTGCCCTCCCAGGGCTCACAGGCCACCCCTCCAGTAACAGTCCAGAGTGAACAGGACTGGGGCAGGGGGCCCATAGGGACCCCTGACTCTCCCTTGGGTGGGATGTTAGGGAGGGCTTTGTGGAGGAGGGGACACCTGAGCTGAGGCCACGGGATGAACAGGGGTGAGGAAGCAGGAGAGATGATCCATGCTAGCATGGCCTGGTTCTGGAACTGCAGAGCGGACCCAGCTGGATCTGGTCGAGGATGGTGGTGGAGGATGCAGTCGGGCTGTAATGGTGTAGCCCCTGCCCACAGCTGGTCTCTCATAGACCCCAGTTCAAGTTCAGACTTGCTCTCTTGAGGGCCTGTGGCAGGTATAGGGTCAGGTTGAGCTTTTGAAAGACCTCACAGGCTGCTGTATGGAGGGTGGGTGGGAGGCCCAAGAGGGGGCTGGGGTGGAGCTACAGGGGAGGAGAGGGAAGAAGGCTGATTTTGAAGGCTTTCTGGCAGAGCAGGCAGAAGCCAATAGCTACGGAGACAGGAGGAGGAGGAGGAACAGCCTCTGTTTCTGGTGGGTCCTCTTGCTGTTCACCTTCTGCGCTCCCTTCAGCCTAGGTGCCCTTCCTACCCTGCCTCCAGCCTCCTCCCTGCCTGTCTACCTGCCATGCCTCCAGCATCCCTCTCTTCCTTACAGGAGCTCCCCTCCCCCATTCTTTATCGGCACCCACCTCTGCTCTCCATTAGCCTCTCAAGGATTGGGGGGCCTCTCTTCTAGCTCAATAAAGACTTCCTGGTTGACAGACTCACCTGGCAAGTGGTGTTTGGGGCAGAAGGGGTTCAGAAGCAGCTCCCAGAGTCTCCCCAGTAGCAGTGGATCTGAGCACCACTGATCTCACTGATTTGGGGTCCCGCAGGGCGCTCCTGAGGGGCCTGCCCTCGCAGGGTGCTTGTGCTGCAACAGCCCCCCTTGGGCCCTTCCTGGCACTCATCATATGCCCAGATTTCCTCCTCTCGCCCTTCCCTCGTGACTGTGTGGACTGTGACCTCCACATCCCCCCAGGCCTGGTAGCGCCCAAGCACCAGCATGAGCCTCGTGCACTGGGTTGAGAGCAGGCAGTCTCTTGACCAGCCTGCTGGTGGAGACCATGGCTCCTTTCCCATGAGGGATTGCTTATGGAAGTCACAGCTGCTTCCTTCCAGTAGGAGTGGAAGTGCCATGCCATCCCAGTCAAGCCACAGTGGGTCCCTGGGGATAGGCAACATATCTTTCTCCCCTCACCCTTTCTGGGCATTGTTCTCCAAGAGAGAGGACCAACGTCTTCCCATGGCCCAGTGGAGCTTCCAGGAGATGGACGTGTCCTCTCCCTTAGACCAAGCTCCCAGGCTTTCCAAGGGTCAAATCACAGTATCCGCTTCTGCTGGGTGGGTGGGGAATCTGTCTTGCCTGGAGCTTCAGGGAGTTGGGGCTGGGTCTCCCCTCACACGGGCAGATCACAGGGCTGAGGCTCTTTAAGGGGGTGGTGGGCTCCCACTTCCCAGGGGCTGCTGGGCAAAGGGGACAGGCCCCCTCTCCGCCTCCTCGCAGCCACCAACCTGTGCTTTGCGGAGCGGAACGTGTACACATCAGAGGTGCTGGCCGTGGTGATGCAGCAGCTGATGGAGCAGAGTCCACTGCCCATGTTGCTCATGAGGACCGTCATCCAGTCCTTGACTATGTACCCCCGCCTGGGGGGCTTCGTCATGAACATCCTGTCCCGGCTCATCATGAAGCAGGTAACCCGCCCCGGCCAACCTGGTCTTCCAGGCAGGGGGCTGCCGCAGGATGCGCTGCCAATAGACTTGAGGCAGAACACCAGGCTTTTCCAGCCGGTTTGGCCCCGTCCCAAGGGAGCCCTCGTGCAGAGAACAAGCTTTACCATGACTGGCAGGCTGCTGGGACAATGCAGCCCTCTAGAGGTCACTGCGGCAGACAGCTGTAGGGTGGCAAGGTGACGGGTGAGGCTGTTGGGTGGTAGGACCAGACTGAGAGGTGCATGTCCCAGGGGGTGTGGCTGCCCCTTCAGAGTCAAGGTGGCAGTCATTTAGTTGTGTGCAGCTCTGCAGCTGCACATACTGCAGCCCACCAGCCCCCTCCATCCATGGGATTCCCCAGGCAAGAACACTGGAGCGGGTAGCCATTCCCTTCTCCAAGGGATCTTCCTGACGCAGGGATCTGCCACACTGCAGGCGGGTTCTTTACCATCTGAGTCACCAGGGCTGCCCCTTGCCCCCCATCATTTGGCACTTAGTCGGACAAGAGGCATCTTGAGCTGAAAGATGGCCTCATTTTTCAAGAGAAGCTAGAAATGTTTTATGAAACAAATTTAAAAAGCCTCTATCCACAAGCCTTCAGACTGGATTCAGACCACAGATTGCCACTTTGCAACATCTGAGTTAGAGGTTAAGTGCAGATGCAGGCAGGTCTGGGGGTCAGATGTCGCTTCTGCCCTTGGTACCTGTGTGACCCGGGACGAGTCCCGCACTTCCCCTGGCTTCCTAGGTTTAGCAGGGCTAACGTCACCCTCTAGAGGCGGCGGTGAGAATGCATCGAGGCGTGGCCTTCCCTGAGGTCTTTGTCCCAACTTCTGGGGCAGCTGGCTGCCTGCAGGCCCCCTCACAACTGCTCCCTCCCTTCCTGGTCCAGGTGTGGAAGTATCCCAAGGTGTGGGAGGGCTTCATCAAGTGCTGTCAGCGCACCAAGCCCCAGAGCTTCCAGGTCATCCTGCAGCTCCCACCCCAGCAGCTGGGGGCCGTCTTTGACAAGTGCCCAGAGCTCCGGGAGCCCCTGCTGGCCCACGTTCGCTCCTTCACCCCCCACCAGGTACCCCTGGGTGTGGGGTGGGTGGCCCCATGGGTCCAGCCCTGGGGGACCGGGGTGGGGCCGAGGGCAGCCCGGCAGTGTCACGAAGGTCCTGGGGTCTGGAGAGTCAAGGACACCAAGGGTCTGAGTGGGACTTGGGGAGGGGGTGTCTCCGGGTCAGAGCTCTCCATAGCGCCCCCATCTGCTTTTCCCCCAGCAAGCACACATCCCCAACTCCATCATGGCCATCCTGGAGGCCAGCGGCAAGCAGGAGCCAGAGACTAAGGAAGCACCTACCGGGCCCCTGGAAGAGGTGAGGGTCTCCCGCGCCCCTCCTCCTACCCACACCAGCCATTTCTGCGGGGAGGGGCTGGGGCTGGGGGTGGGGAGACGGCAGCCCCTTACTCCCAGTGCTCTCTCTGCTGTCTGCCTCAGGGTAGTTTCCATCTTTTCCCCACCATCCCCTTGAGAGCAGCCTGGGTCTTGGGTCCCAGCTGTCCTGAGGTTTTGTGTGTTGCTCCGCACCCCCAGGATGACTTAGAGCCTCTGGCCCTGGCACCACCTCCGGCCCCCCGACCCCCTCAAGATCTCATTGGCCTGCGGCTGGCCCAGGAGAAGGCCTTAAAGCGGCAACTGGAGGAGGAACAGAAGCTGAAGCCTGGGGGACTGGGAGCCCCCTCCTCGTCCTCGTCCTCGTCCTCGTCCTCGGCGCGGCCAGGCCCCGTCCAGCCGGAGGAAGCCATTGACTTCCGGGAGGAGGGGCCTGAGTGCGAGACCCCGGCCATCTTCATCAGCATGGACGACGACTCGGGGCTGACTGAGGCCGCACTGCTGGACTCTAGTCTTGAGGGACCCCTACCTAAGGTAGGGATGACTGCCCCAGAGCAACAGGATGAGAAAAGTCAGGGCCCGCCCGGGGTTAAGTGTGTGTGCCCAGTGTCCAAGGCAGGGAGGGGGTGGGAAGGGTAGGGCCTGAAGAAGTAGTGGAGGTGCAACCACGCTGTCTTTGACCTGCCCCCCCTTCTGTCACCAGGAAACTGCAGCAGGTGGATTGCTTTCAAAGGAGGAGCGGAGCCCCCAGCCCCTCACAGCGGCTGGAGAGGACACAGTGCAGACTCCCAGCCCTGCCGCTGAGGAAGCAGGCGAACCGGAGACCAAGGGGAACAGCTGACGGAGCTTGTTGGGGGACAGGGGAGTGGGACTGGGAGCTCAGGGAGGCCGGGAGGGGCTTGGCCGGTGGTGCTTTGCCTTTAAAAATTAAACGAAAAAAAGATCGCCGGTCTGGGGTATGGGTGTCGTCTCTGGTACCTGCTTCCGTGTCAGCTGTGGGATTGTGCAGAAGCTGGTGGGCGCAGGAGGCCCCCCAACCCGCCCGAAGGCTGCAAGCCCCTCTGGCACGGGGCTGCGCCTGCGCGGAAAGCAGCTTCTTGGCCGTGCATCCCCACGCGCCCTGTCCTGGTAACGGCCCACCCCCTCCGTCCCTAGCAACCGGCGCCGTTAGCCCAGCGGCTGCTGAGTGCACACAATTCGGGCGACTGGTCTGGCCTGCCTATCTGCAAGCCTTCTTCCTGGAAGTCTGCGATCCCTTTGAACTATGGGGGACCCTCCACCTGACCCCGAGCCCCCTTCTCAGCCGACCTCCAGCCGTAGGAGCTCTCAGGTCTCCGAGCGGCGGCGCACCAGGCCCTCAGTCGCGCCCCTGGTCCACGAGGAGCTGCAACAGATACCGCTTGACCCCCAGATCCTGCGCGGCAGTCGGGAGGCGCTGTCGAACCAGAGCAATCTCCATGGCTGGCCACAGAGCACCAGCCTGACCCCAAACGAGAACCTGGTTTTCCAAGCTGAGGACTCTTACGTGAACCCTGGCTTTCCCGCAGCGGTGCAGCGCCAAGCTTACCTGAGCGAGGGCAGGCTCCAGGCCAGCCAAAACGCCAGCCTAATGCTGCAGCAGCTACAGCAGGGTGAAGGCAACCTATTTCAGGAACTGGAGTCTGCCTACCAGGAGCCCCCGGCAGACCTGGGCCAGTTCACCATGTACCAGAGAGAAGACCTGCCGTTTAGCCAGGGCACAGAGCATGGGCCCTACATGACAGATGACCCCACTCTCCAATTCTCGCCCTCTGAGCTGGGCTTCATGTCCTTCAATATGGAGTTGCCTGAGCCAGAACCTCGTGAGCTGGCCGTGCAGAATGCCAAGGCCTACCTGCTGCAGACCAGCATCAATAGCGACCTCAGCCTGTGAGAGAGGGCCCCGGGAGTGGGGAGAGGGAGGGACCAGGCAGGGAGACACCTCAGCCAAGGCCCCACCTCCTCATCTAGACGAGATTGCTCTTCACTGAGAACCAGCGACCACTCTGGGGGCATCGAACTCAGACTGGGAGTCAGGGAATAAATAACCACATTAGTTAGCATTTACTTACCAGACTGTGCCAGCACTTCACAGGTTAACAGCTGGTTCTCGTGGCTGAGCTTAGCACATCTGTTCCAATTTTGAAAGAAAAGTGAAAGTCACTCAGTCCAGTCAGAGACTTTGCGACCCCCATGGATTGTAGCCTGCCAGGCTCCTCTGTCTATGGAATTCTCTAGGCAAGAATATTGGAGTAGCAAGCCGTTCCCTTCTCCAGGGGATCTTCCCAGTCCAGGGATTGAACCCAGGTCTCCCGCATTTCAGGCGGGTTCTTTACCATCTGAGCCACAGGGAGGGAAACTCAGACACAGAGAAATTAGGTCCCATGTCCAAAATAACACAGCTTAGGTATGGTAGATCCAGGATTTCAGCACAAGTGATTGGGCTCCTGAGGCCCTGTTATCCACTAACACTTCCTGCCTGAGAAAGGGACTTACCAAGGCCATGTATATGCAGTCATAGCCCCCCGTCACATCCTCATGAAGCTGACACTCCAGTGGGAGAATGGACAATAAATGTAAGATGATAACCGCTAAGGTGAGCAATAGGGCAGAGTAAGCGGGATGGGAGGGGATGTTAAATAGCACGAGGTCAGGGAAGGAAGTTACATTTGATCAGGAACCTGAAAGAGGTGAGAGAGAGCACCATGTGGGTAAATTGTCCAGACATAGGACACAGTGAGCTTAAAGGCTTGGGAGCTTGCTAAGTTTGAGGAACAGCAAGGAGGCTGGTATAACTGGAACCAAGGGAGGAAGCAGGAGAATGAGAAAAGAGTTGGGAGAAGTAGCAGGTCTTGCTCAAGCACAAAGCTGACTCCCATTCCGCCCATGCTCAGAGCCCGCCATGTCTCACCAGTGCCTTCAGAAGAAGGTTCATGTTTCTCATAACAGCCTTCAAGGTCCTATGTAATTCAACCCCTTCTCCCTCTCCAAATGTCACCTCTAGTCAGCTCCTACCTCAGATCCTAGAATCTAGTCAAAATTACCTCAAAATAAATAAATAGCCCACAGCTCTTCCCCAATAGCACCCAGCCCTTGGAAGTTTCAAGGTCCCTTAATGGGTCTTTTCTCTTTCTTTTTTGTTTTCTTTGGTCATGCCACATGGCTTGCAGAATATCAGTTCCCTGACTGGGGATTGAGCCTGGGCCATAGCAACAAAAGCCTGAATTCTAACCAGTAGGCTACCAGTGAGCACCCTCAAGTCCCCTGTTGAAAAGCGCTCTCTCCTTCTTACCCTTCCCACGTCAGTGATGGCTCTCAACCACACCCAGCACTGCTGCCAAATGGCTTAGACATGATTTGAAATTAGTCCAAGTGAAAGTAAAGGTGGAGTCGCTCAGTCATGTCTGACTCTTTGTGACTCTATGGACTGTAGCCCCCCAGGCTCCTCTGTCCATGGGATTCTCCAGGCAAGAATACTGGAGTGGGTTGCCATTTCCTTCTCCAGGGGATCTTCCCAACCCAGGGATTGAACTCGGGTCTCCCACATTGCAGACAGACTCTTTACCGTCTGAGCCACCAGGTGGCTCAGAAATTAGGCCAACTTGGTTTTCAATCCTGACTGTGCTACCATGACCTCACATTTTCTAAGCTTCAGTTTCTTCATCTGGGGAGTGAGGATCATAATTTTTTCTCAAGTGTATGTGGTGAGAATTCAACATTGCTCTCAAGTGCCCAGCGTAGTACCTGACCCAGGTGAATGGAAGTCATGCTGATATTGTTAACACTCCAGTCTCCTTTCCTACCTCAACCCCTCATCCTCACTCTGCTCCAGCCACAATGACCTCTATTTCTCCAACATGCCAGACACACCCTCAGCTCAAGGTCTTTACACTCCATTCTCAATCATGTCATCTGCAAACCATGGTAGTTTTGCTTCTTCCTTTCTAAAATTTTACATTTTCTTTTTCTTTTTTTTGACAGTGGAATACAGTTTATTATGCCAATGGGTTCAAGGGGAATCAGTTCCCAACAAGGACCCTGATGTTTCTGAGAGGCCCAGTTTTATACCCCCTACTACATGACTGACTACGTGTTAGCAACCTCTTTGTTGTATATGATTGAGTTGTAACAACAAGTAGGTGCTAGGAGAACAAACAATTAAGGTTAAAGGTGGGGACAATAATTATACATTAAGGGGGGATGTTTCCATGGTTAATCTAAGAGGGGCAGCCTGACCTCAACTATAATCTCTGTCATCTGTGGAGAGGGAAGTCTCCAGGAGACCTGGTTTTCACTAGCAATGGTTTCCTCACTCTTGGTCAGGGCTCAGGCCCAGTTCACATCCAGTCTTTAAGATGGATGACAGGCTTCAAGATAGAGTCTCTCTTGCTTTCCTCACACTGGCCCCAACAGTTCTTAACAATGCTTATAATACTCTTGAAAGTGTCATGAAACATTAAACATCTAACCATCATCTTAAGCTATCTTTTTTCCTGGCAAATCTGTGACAGAGATAACATCAGCTCTTTTAGTAAACCAAGATGGAATGAAAGTTGCATGTCTGCATTATTTTTAACATTGATAACTCTAAAGAATGCCTGTTTTAATCAGGCCAACCGACTTGTTTGTTTTCTCCCAAATTATCCTAGATCACATGAACTTGAATAACATTTGGCTTAGTTTCTATATTCCTCAGACTATATTAATTTATGCAAATACTTTACTCTCCTTTAGTCAATTAAACAGAGCTCTTTATATGGGCTTTCCAGGTGGATCAGTGGTAAAGAATCCACCTGCCAATTGTTATGCCCAATGTCTGAATCCCCGAGTGGGAAGAGAGAAGGCTTCCAAGACAATGCAACTCGCAAAAAAAAGGGAAGTTTATTGCTGACTCGAGTCAGGGCTCCCGCTGCGCGTTCAACGCAGTGGTACGGGGTCAGAGAGCACTGAGCTCAAGCTGTTACGCAATTTATAAGGTGTGCATAAGCAGTTGGTAGCTGGCTTAAGCGGATTGGTTACATGTTTGCAAAGTAATCTTATTGGCCCAAACCTTCGCGGGCTTTTTTCGAACTTGGGTGTTCGCGGGCTTTTCAGCTTTCCCCTGATAGGTTCCCTTTTTCTTGCTAGGCGCATGTTGATTGGCTGGCTCCAGGTTACCTGATGGCGGCGGGGAATCCCACCATTTCAGTGGAAACCGAAACCCCGGTCCGGGCTGCCTGCCAGTCCCAGCAGCCCCACATTCCCCGTCTTTGTTTCTATGGAAGGCCCAATCATGGGTCTTTTATATCATCTGTGGGGACAGTCGAATATTGAGATCTGAGTAACATTAGGTAGACGGACAGGCAGTGTGTTTTTCCTAACAACTCCCCCTTGAGAGACTTCATACTCAAGATGCTTTTTGGGA